TTTAGGTTAGGTACAGTTGTGGTAGGTTTTGGTTGAGTAGAGTTAGGCGAGTATTAGTTTAAAGGTTACCTTTAACTAGGTTAGATTTGGTTAGGCTACGTAAGGCGATAAACTCACTGTTGCATGATAATGTATGCTGTATGTTCTTACATGTATAGAAGATATGTATTAAGTACTGTATTATCTGTGCTCTTATTAACCACTAGAGAGGCAATTATGCCAAATAAGTACAATCACTTACTATGCCCTATCTACAATAATGTACCATTGCCTTTAGCAATGTTGTACGTTAAGAAAGCAAGGACGGGTTCTATAATTCACGCTACCATCTCATTTCCACAAATTATACATAATAATGTCCAAACCTATAATCTGTTATATATTTCCAAGCAATGAAACCTTTTAAAACTGTACGGTTAGTTCTATCAATAAGTATAGATGGGGTGTTGTTTTAAGTCTATACGCTTATCTTGTTCCAAGTATTACTACTCGAGTTATATATTAAAGTTTTCTAATATATTTTTTTTCATCTTTTCTACTAAAAAAAGAATTACCCGGAAAGTTTGATGCATTGTGAGACATATACCTTTTGTGCTCTTGGCTTTTGTAGCCTATTTAGTTAAAATTCGATGCTACAACCTATAACTGCCTTGTTTATGTATAATTCACTACAGTAGTGCGGCTCTTACTTTTCCTGCAGTGAAGTAGAGAAATATATTTTACGGACAAAGCAGTTTTTTAATTGGGCGGGACACCCAGCTGGGAGTATAGATAATGAAATTTGCTTCTTACTAGAAGTCTTGTACTTGTCTTGTACTTGACGCTGTAACTCTAGATAGACGTGTTCAGCAACTAGAAATTATAGATCAGTACGCCATGATCGATTAAATTTGTGGGTTGCAAAGTTATATCCGACCTGCGACATGAGGCTGACCGGCTACTCTCCACAAGATGGAGAGTTTAACATATTTAAACATGTACCGGTGCCCTGGGGTATATTCAGGGTATATTTGGGTAATTTTAGCATCAGGGATGTAATCTCTTCAACCTGTGTTAATATATCCAGTTTTTATTATCATTTTATTAATATTATTAGTACGACTGCATAAAGAGGTAAGGGAAGAACAGAAGCCTATCTCAGCGAACAAGCAATAATTAATGAAAGTTATGACAGCGTAAAAGGCCATCAAGCGATCAGTTCAAACGAAATTCTTGGGTCCTTAATCCTCAGCGTGACTCTACAGAGCCTTATAATGATTCCTATTGTCAATATCAACTCGGGAAAGATGATGAATAATTGCCATGCCTTCCGTATGGCTCAAAGAATTTCTATCGACATTCAAGTTACATTATTCACTCTTTTTGGGGGTTGTCATCCCTCTCAATGCAGTTCTCATCGTTTTATGAGAGAGAGACAGAGACAGAGACAGAGAGAGAGAGAGAGAGAGAGACAGAGAGAGACAGAGACAGAGAGAGACAGAGACAGACAGAGAGACAGACAAAGACAGAGAGAGAGTTTTCTTTGACGTAGTTATCTAAGAGAAGTTTCGTGTAAATTTGATTTAAATAGGAAATAAGTTATTAGAGATGACAATATAGGATTCTGTTGTATATTGCAAACTGTTTAAACAAATGGGGGCAGCATAAAAATAGCCTAAGCTACTCTATCTATTTATATTATTGTCTTGATAACCTTACTTGAATTTGATTTTTTTGTTTGTTTACGTAATATGGAAAAATGTTGATAGATCCTTGTTGTGCAGAGTTCAAGCCTAATATTTGTCCTGGGTTTGTTGACGACTACTTTGTTATCTCTAATGGTCGTTCACACCTTGCTATGGTTGCTTCGTGTTTCAGTTATAAACTTTAAAACGTGTCATTTACTTTCGGAATTTTTGAAAGTTCTAAAATATATTTCCTTTCCTTAACAATGGAGGTCAATTTGTTAGGTCAGTTCACCGTAAACCCACATTCACAGGATTGGGGGTTGTATTACCTTAACTTTTGTCCACAACTATGTAAACTGAATATAATCTCCGTTCGAAATATAAATGATATGATATTGAAGTTAAATTTTGCATGAATTTTTAGCTTCAACTGATTTACCTAGTAAAATATTTTACAGAATTCAGAGTTGACTCTTAAATACCAAATTGAAACCTATTGCCGAGATTCTCAGTCGCTAAAGACACACATTACGTTAAATTCCTGTATCTATAATCTAGGTACTGTAAGCTATTACGTTAGGAAGGTACTTCAGAGTATTCTAAGAAATAAATATGTTTCATATTCGTGTTTACTAACAATAATACCATTGTAAGCTGTTTAAAATGTAGTGAACCATTACCCTTGAAACTCACACCTAGTGTTTCTATCTGTTTAACTAATCGAACCGTAACAAAATACTTCACGAAACTTTTGAACACCGTATTTGTGAACATATAAGCGTCTCTTACCTTCCTGGTCCGCCTCTTAGACAATGTGCATCTTCTGGTATTAGCGATCACAGCGAGGGTAAAGACCACCTTCCACCTACAGCTATTTCGCTGTTCTGTTCTCTAGTTCGTCTCTCCTTCAGCTCAACATTTCAGAGACTCGATCTTTAGAATGAGTCTCTACGAATCAGGAGTCGAACGGTTCAGAATCGAGTTTTTATTATTGTTTTCTTCTGCATATATCTGTCCATTATTTTGTATTTGTATATATAGTTTAATTTAAGTTTAGAATTTTTAGTCAATGAAATTAATCATTATATAATTTTGATTTATATTTAATATTTTCAGTTAATCTTGCGTGGTATATATTTTCTTTTTGGCACTTAAAAATAAACACTTATTTAAATCTTAAATTTGGCACTTATTTAATTCTTAAAACTGAAGATGTATGTCTTTTCAATTATACTTTTCATAAATGTATACATCTATGCGAATTTTGTACACATATACGAATACAAAACTTATATCAAATACATTACAATACATATATACAAGACATATATAAATGAGCCTTTTAGCACAGTGATCAACGCTCTCGGTTCACAGTCCAGGTGCCCAAGTTGTTGACCAAACCGGACTGAACCGTCGTCGTTTCAACATTTTCTGATGTGTGGTTTGGTGATTCCATCGTTCAGCCATGTTATTGTGACTCATCGTCTGCCCAGGTTGAATCCCCCCCGGGCAGGACAGAAACGATTGGGCAAGTTTCCTTTCACCTGATGCATCAGTTCACCTAGCAGTAAAATAGGTATACTAATAGTTGTGGGTTGTGCACTAGTCAGTAATTGTCCTAGGGAGACCTGGATAAACATAATTATAGGCTTCCTGTCCCCAAAAACGGAAATCTTCAAACAAAGCATTCAGGTTGATAGGCTTCGAAGCCTAAGTACACACCAAGGTTAAGAAATACAAGTGCGTTCTCGCTGTCATTCACACACACACATATCGAATGTAGATATGATTGAGCCCAGTATGTTCTGGAATCTGTACACCAGTTGATTGACAATTAAGAGGCGGGGCCAAAGAGCCAGAGCCTAACCCCCGGAAATACAACTAAGTGAGTACACACAGGAACTTCGAGAATAAACAATCCACTCAGACTAATTAAAATCTTTTTATTAATATTAAGAATAAGAAACCGTTTACATACACAACGACGATCATGAAAACACTGGTCAAAGTAAGCGGGAAAATAACATTGAAGAAATAAGAGAAAGCTATAGCGTTTTCGAGCGTCAGGCCTTCGTCAGGAGCCAGACTGGACCTTCATACTAATGAACACCTCATGCTTGAAAACATGTTATTGCTTTCTTTTATTTGTCATTATGGTTTTTCCACACACATTATATATATATATATATATATATATATATATATATATATATATATATATATATATATATATATATATATATATATTATATATATATATATATATATATATATATATATTATCTTCTCATGTACAACTACCATGTATAAAACTATCAGGAGACGACATCCTGATCAAACTAAATAGTATATTTTTTTTTTAAATGCCACAAAAATAGTAAATATATTAACTGCTGTTTTCAATATCAAGTTCTGCACACATTTTTACAATTTTAAAATATCATAAATTCTCTTATACCACACTCAGTACTTACAGTCACAATTTATCGTTATATAAATCGATTAACGTATCACCATATAACTCTTATCATTCTGCTACAGGAGAACTGGTCTCAAAACCACACAGTGCGTTATAGGGAGAAACATCGAGTGTTTTCTTTAATCAATTTACGACATCTACACAAAATATGGGGAATTAGAAAATTTTAAAAATATTTAATATCAGACCACATCTGATTATCAAAAGGTCAGAGGCAACATGAACAAGGAGCCACGGTTTTTATCCTCAACAACCCACAATGTAGAACTGAAAACAGGAGATGCTTTTCCACCCACCGGGTTATAAACCCATGGAACCGCCTACCCGCTGAAGCCATAAATGCCAAAACTCTGTTGAGTTTTAAAATTCAAATAGAAAAAAATAATCAGGACAAATGGGCGGACCTTTGACAAGCCGCCGGCTTCCTGTTCTCGTTCTCTAAAGTGTTAGTGGCCCTCAGGTAAACATATGGGAAAATCATATATATATATATATATATATATATATATATATATATATATATATATATATATATATATATATATATATATATATATATATATATTATTAAATATGACCGAATATATATATATATATATATATATATATTATTAAATATGACCGAAAATATATATATATATATATATATATATATATATATATATATATATATATATATATATATATATATATATATATATATATTATTAAATATGACCGAAAATATATATATATATATATATATATTATTAAATATGACCGAAAATATATATATATATATATATATATATATATATATATATATATATATATATATATATATATATATATATATATGATCTATTTTATTTTAAATAACACATCATATTCATCTGATTTATTTTAAATAACATATCATCTTAAATCCTTTTTACAATAAACTTTTTAATAAATTTGATAACAAAAAACTTAAAAAATTCCAACACTATATACTGATTGTCTTAATATATGTAAAGGATACTACATATCAATAAGAGAGAATATCAGGTTATGTTTTCTGGCCAAGGTTGAAGAGGCCAGACGCTCATGGCTAGTCCCCCACCTTTGCAGGGTGAATGTGGGGGGGTGGGGGGGGGGGGTAGGGGTCTATCATCGCCACGTCATGGGTAGGCCCCATTGGTCCTATTAAAAGAGGAGATCGGCTCCAATGGGACCCTCCTCCCCGCCTCCCCCACACGAAATAGGTTGCAGGTAAGTGGTCTGGTCCCCTAGAATGTTATTACTTTACAACATTTTGAATATATAAATATAGAGCAAGGACTGTCACAGGCGGGTCGAGGTCGATGCCTGGGGTCGAGTGAAGCATAAGATCAACCCATACTACCACCAATTACATTGCCTAACCTTCTGGGGTCGACCCGGGCACCACCGGGTACCAAATCAAATAATTATATAATAAGTAAACACTTAATACACTTTGCAATAATTATTCACGGCCTTGCAACAAATATTTGTTAAAACTGACATGATAATTTGAAAGTAATCGATAACTGCCTGTTAGCAAGAATGATATACTTTTGAAAACTGAAATACGTAAGTGGAATTAAAAAAGTTTAAATAATATAAAATTTCTGAGTAGGACCAAAATCTGTAGATGTATATACACAGTGTTTTAATATAGAGCATATAATGGTTGTGTGATCTGTGGGAGGGAGGGAGGCAGGCTGGGGCTCCAGTGAGGGGGTGGGGGTGGGGGGGGAGGGGTTCCAAGTAGGCCCAACCCACATGTTGGTTCAGGTAGGCCTATGTCGTCACCACAACCAGTGCCAGGGTCAGGGCCACCAGGCGGCTGGAGACACGCAGTTCTGAAAAGATTCCTTTGTATGTAACTCCTCACAATTATAGCTACAATTTAAAAGGAAAATTATATATGAGAATAAAGCTACTAGTAACGCTAATATTAAAAATAATGATAATAAGATAATCAGTAGGAGGCGTGAAGAGGATACGAATAATCATAATAATAATAATAATAATAATAATAATAATAATAATAATAATAATAATAATAATAATAATAAAAATACTAATAATACTAATAATAATGAAGGAACTTACTACCATTCCAGAGTGTTTGAATGAAGGTGAAGATACAATACTTTTGTAAGTGTATTATTTAACCAAGTTTACAGATGACACCTTCAGTCTTCCTCAAGGTGACGTAAACAATGTCCTCAACTACACCCTCGTCCAAAACAAGCTTTGTTTACAATATTGTTTACAGCACTTTGATAATGACTGAAGGTTTCAGCCTAAAATTTGGTTTAATATAATATTTTATTGGGTCTTCTCCTCATGTTAAGTAATAAGAAGTCTTACATAGTAACTACAAGTTTAACATTATAATATACTGTGTATTATATTAATTAATTAAAATTAGAAATTAATAGCAGTAATGGTCATTAAAACTATTTTATTTACTAATTAATGACAATTTATGTTAGTCAAATTACTATTAACAATTCAAAGTGTTTATCACTAGAGAATAAATAATACAAATAATGAGTGGATGAAGGGAGAGAGGGCAGCGAGGCACTGACCTGGAGCTCCACCTCCTGGACCCGTCGAGGGCAACACGCCCTGAAGCGCCACCTTCATCTCAGAGTTGAACTGTGACATCTGGCTGGAGGAGATGGCTGCCGCCGTCGTGGGGCTCAGGTTCTTGATCTGGGGCACCTTCATCACCTGTAGGGTACACCACGGTGAGGGAGGGTACTTTAGGGAGGGTGAGGGACGGTACACCACGGTGAGGAAGGGTACTCCAGGGATGAATTGAGTGCCGGGTTGATAAAGTCCAGTTTAGAGAAAACGGAAGCATCTAACTCATCTGATATTCACCAGATTAGTTAACTAAACAGTTAAAGTTGGCTTGCAATATATGTTGTTGTAGTAAGTTGCAATATTGCTCCCTAGTTTAGCATCATCGGCAAGTGTTGATACTGATCAATATAATCCGTTATGGAAGTTATTTATGACTGACCCTTGCGGCGCTCCTCTCGTCAAATCCGGCTGCTCCAAGAAATATCTGTTTAGTGTCACACATTGTTTGTGTCAAGATAATCGATGTTCCGTTTATTTTAATACACAACTGTTTAAGCAAAAAATGATTTAGCTTCTGAAATGCTTCTTTTGATCTAGAATTTCATCAAATGATTTAAGTACTTTAAGATATATTCTGCCAGTTACTTTCTTATTATCATGTAAGTTACAAATTCATGCAGGAATTTCATGTTGGAAATTCATGCTTGCAAATCCATGCAGGAAATGTTAGATATACATGGTAAGATTCTATTCTGGAACTTTCTAACTTGATGATCAATAGCTAAATATCCTTCAATTGTGCCTCGGACAATTGCTTAAAAGACATCACCAATTTTCACTCAGACAACTGTACCAGTGAGTTACTGTACTTATATTCATCTGGTAGTAACTCACTGTATGAATACAGAATCATCTTTAAGACACTGGGGCTGGGATAGACCCACCTTCAAGACACTGGGGCTGGGATAGACTCACCTTCAAGACACCGGGGGGAATAGATTGTATGCCAGCTGAGGTCAGACCTGAGAAGGCTCTGTCAGGCATCATGGCCAAGCTCTCTGGGCTGAGACCACCCATCAGGAGTCCCATCTCGCTCACCTGTCAACAGGTAAACAAGCTGTAATTATGTCCAATATGTCCCAACAAGTACACCAGTTTTCTTCTTTATATAGTGTAGACCAGGTATAATTATGTCCTGGTCACCACCTCCCTCACTGTCCCCTCACACCCCCTCCTTCCCTCCCTCACCGTGGCAGGGTCCCAGTACTGGATGTTTCTGTTGTCACTGCTGTAGGCAGCAACAGCTCTGGCGGCCAGGTTGACAGTGCTGTTCTGACCACTACAGTCCAGGATGCCCAAGTACCTCATGGCGTCCCTGGTGACCAGAGAGAGCAGCGTTATTAGTACATGTTACACTTTCACTTGTTACACTTGTAGAAACAGCAGTAGTTGTAGTAGTTTAGTAATAATATAGTTGTACTTTTAGTAACAGTAGGTGCTATAGCAGTATATATATATATGTTGGGTAATATATAATGCTGTCAGTAGCCAGTGAAGGGTGCTCATCACATGGCCCTGTATGACTAACCATTCTGTGTGATGGGCACTTTTAACATCACTTTCATCATCACTTTTAGCTTGTTCTTGACACACTCTGTACTCCTGTGTGTGTGTATATAAAGTATTTGTTGTTTTATCTTTCCATCTGCCTTTCAATACTGTTATCCGTCCCTATCCACTACCCCGTTCCCCAGCAACATGAGCCCATACTCACAGGAAAGCGGTGGAGGGAATGGCGTTGATCTGGTCTTGAGTGAGGAAGCACACCACTCGCCCCAGCAGCATCAGGTCCTGTGAAGTCATGCTCGATGTGCTCTTGTAGTTGGTTAGTATCTTGTCCCTGAGTGCTCTCATCTGTTGAGGGGAGACTGGGTTATGGTGGGTCAGTGTGGGTGAGAGAGTGGGGGTTATGGTGGGTCAGTGTGGGTGAGAGAGTGGGGGTTATGATGGGTCAGTGTGGGTGAGAGAGTGGGGGTTATGGTGAGTCAGTGTGGTGAGAGAGTGGGGGTTATGGTGGGTCAGTGTGGGTGAGAGAGTGGGGGTTATGGTGGGTCAGTGTGGGTGAGAGAGTGGGGGTTATGGTGGGTCAGTGTGGGTGAGAGAGTGGGGGTTATGGTGGGTCAGTGTGGGTGAGAGAGTGGGGGTTATGGTGGGTCAGTGTGGGTGAGAGAGTGGGGGTTATGGTGGGTCAGTGTGGGTGAGAGAGTGGGTTATGGTGGGTCAGTGTGGGTGAGAGTGGATGAAAGAACTGATATTAAGTGACCTGGTAAATATCTGTAGTTTACTCACGCCCACCGAGACAATGTTCCTACATATTTTGGAATCATCAGCAAAGAATGACGCAGAACTGAATATTGTGTTCCTTGCTATTCTCTTAAACAATGGTGCACCTTAAAATTAAACACCTTACCTTGTGGGACAGAGACTGTGGGACAGGTATGTTTCATCCCATACACAAGCTGGATTTCGTTTGCTTTCCTGCCACTTTTTATACGTTATGCCTGCCACTAGTAAGCATAGCGTTTCAGGCAAGTCCTTAATCTTAATATTCCCCGGAACACGACCCGCCAAATCGTTTAACAACCAGGTACCCATTTTACTGTTGGATAAACAGAGGCTACAATTAAGGATTTGCGCCCAGTCAATCCTCCTTGGCCAGGATACTAACCCAGCCCAAAGTGCTCGCGAAACGCCAGGCGAGCGTCTTATCCACTACGCCATGGGGGACTGTACTTTTTGTAATCTCTTTGCTGTAAAATTTAAGATTTACCTCTTAAATTTTGTACAGCTGCTGTACCTGTTATGTTATTTAGTCTAGCGTGATGAGAGCGATGTTTGGGATCTAGGGAATGTCACCTTTCTACCTGCTTCCTCACTATATTATATAGTGCTTGTAAGATAATAATGAATTCCAGTTATCTGGCGCCTGTAGACGAGTGCATAGGCCTAGCGTGTATTTCCATCTCGAAGTCAGTGAGAGTTATTGAAATATGACTTTCTGAGTGACTCAGGTCTTGAACAAGTTCTGAGGATCTTTGTGTTCATTGCTCTGATAAATATTTGTTCATACTGTTCTTGTAAGAGTTTGTTCATGTCTTTACTGTCATCGGTGTTCCAAATTCTTCTTGTAAGTATGAGACCGAAAATTATAGGGATTTGATTATATATTTTGCATATGAAAAAATTCCAGATTTTTTCCCGTTTCGACTTCAGTGAAGTCGTGGTTCAAGATAGCTGAATTTGACTGATATCCCAGCGTAGTTCTTCATTGTTTGCGAAGAACAATGTTCATTGTTCAAGTGTGTTATCGTCTCCTATTGGCTCGGTTACCTGGGGATTTAACATGAACTTGTCATTAAGTTTAGTTACCTGACTGCTATGTGATTGTCGAACTTAACAACAAAGTCTTCACAGTTTGTATAGTGAACATGTATCAATCATCTTCCCCCTTATATTATCTGGTTGAAATCTACTAAGACGATTATATTTGTTACTTGGTTTTATTGGGGTTTCTAGACATTTCTCCATATTTCTAATCTGTTCTGTAAATTCTTCAGCTGTTTTATCTGAAGGCTTGTTGACCAGATCACACACTAGAAGGTGAAGGGACGACGACGTTTCGGTCCATCCTGGACCATTCTCAAGTCGATTGAGAATGGATTGAGATTGGATTCTCAATCGACTTGAGAATGGTCCAGGACGGACCGAAACGTCGTCGTCCCTTCACCTTCTAGTGTGTGGTCTGGTCAACATACTTTAGCCACGTTATTGTGACTCCTCGCCTGCATCTGAAGACTTGTATACGAGGATAATTAACAGGTTCAAGTTTTCTACTATCATTTTGACCACCGCCTGGCAGAACGTCATCTTATCTCCCTCTTCCCATTTCTTATTTCCATCTTCTTCCCTTCCTCCCTCTTTTCTCTCATGAGAACCAATACACTCACTGCCTCATCAGACATGGAGGTCATCATTCCCATCCAGAAGATCATCTCCTTGGCTGCTGGAGTGTTCCACGTGGTAATGTTGTTTATGTCGTCCTTGGTGAAGGCCTGGTAGATGTAGCCAAGTTTAGTCAGCTCCTCCTGCGTCAGGTTACCCTGGTTTCTCAGCTGCCTCACCGCGTCAGCCAGGGCCTGTAGAGCAAAGTCGTCTGTAGGATCGAAACCACTTATGGGTTAATGTTTACACTTGTGGCTGGGGATATATCAAACTTGCGGGAAAGGCTATACCAGTCCTGTCGATACGGGAGGACCTGATCAGTTTGCAAAGGAGAAAAAATGGATCTGGCATTTAAAGGGTACATACATGTGATTATTAATTAATAGCTATTACTTGTGTTTACAGAACGTCACACTTTTGGGTGAGAGTTACACCTGCGGTTAATAATAAGTCTCACACCTGTACATGAGGTGGTTGTGCCCACATCCAACTTACCATAGCCTTGTCCATGCTCATGTCCTGGGAGCTGAGGTCAGCCAGGTTGTCCTTCACATCCTGCAGCTGAAGATTTCTGATCTCAGCAGCAGACATCACAGCAACTCCCCCGCATGAGATCTTGTCGCAGGCTGTGGTAGCGCCTCCTGCAGGAAGGCAAGAACAATGTGGGGTGGACGTCTCAAGAAAAACAAAAGGCAGAGGGCCAGGAATAAGATCAAGAAGCAGAGGGCCAGGAATAAGATCAAGAAGCAGAGGGCCAGGAATAAGATCAAGAAGCAGAGGGCCAGGAATAAGATCAAGAAGCAGAGGGCCAGGAATAAGATCAAGAAGCAGAGGGCCAGGAATAAGATCAAGAAGCAGAGGGCCAGGAATAAGATCAAGAAGCAGAGGGCCAGGAATAAGATCAAGAAGCAGAGGGCCAGGAATAAGATCAAGAAGCAGAGGGCCAGGAATAAGAGCAAGAGGAGAACCTGCTCTTACACACTAACTTCTGTAAAACCTCGCTATGGATTTGTCCTTTGATTCAAATCACTCATAATCTCACATATGAAAACTCTGAATTCATCAGATGAATCACATCACTAACTCATTTTTATACAGACGCTTCAGAATAAAAAAAAGGAGTTACCATACTCATAAATTACTCTGTAACGTCTCACATCAATTCAGAATCGCAAGGAAAATAGTCTCTCTTAAACTCTCCCTTCATATTCACCTGCTGAGTTAATATGAAGGGAGTTATACACGTATGAAATGTTATACACATTTGTAATTTTGGGTCAATTCATTTTCGTTCATATAAACAAGTTTATAGAGAACTCAGGATACACGAGGTCGTAATACCCCTGAACACCCACCACAACCTAACCTGCCTTAACAACCCTGTACAACCACCACCACCCCACCTGCCTTAATACCCGTGTACAACCACGGAGGACCTGCTGCATGGGTAACAGCTTCTCCCCCGCATCAACCTACCCTGGCTTTGCGCCCTGGTGAGGCCACTCCAGACCGACAACCAGAGCCCAACTCCACACTCTCCTGAGACTGATGGATGCCTACTACTACTACTACAACTACCACAACCTCACCTGCCTTAACAACCGTGCACAACCACTACCACCTCACCTGCCTGCCTCAGGGCGATGCAAGTCTTGGTCTGGTCAACAGCGATGGTCTCGTCTTCCACTATAGCACCAATCTTGCACGCCGCCTGCAATAATGCACAATAATGAGGCTGCATCATATAATGAAATCATTATTGAATTCTATATGAATGAATAAATATATACAATGAAGGTGTGTGTGGGGAACACACAACAAGCTTGGACAAAACATGGAAAGGAAAAAAAATGAGGAAATAAGAGATACAAAAAATTAGTATAAGGATGGCGTTTTCGAAGGAGAAAGATTATTATTGAAAAAGAGAGAACTAGAAAACCAATATACCAACGTCAAGAAACAAATCAAATGTAGCTCAGTCGATTAAGGCAGTGTCTGGGATGCTCCCGGACGCAGGTTCGAATCCTCGTCACGGCCCTTGTGGATTTGTTCAAATGTAAGAGAAAATGTAGTTTCCTGTTCCTCCTCTCCCTCTATCCCTCCCCTTCTCTACTTCCCTCTTTTCCATCCTGTTTCCCTCCCTCACCGGCTGACCATCTTCGAAGGGTGACATCATAATGTTGCAAGACGTCGAGGTGTAGACCTCATCCGGGATCCCCATTAAGTTGGTGCTGGTGAGCGTTCTTAGGAGACAACTGACGTCACTTGCATCCTTCCAGGTGTTGGTGGGCCTGGAAGGTCAGAGGTCAAAGGTCACCACAAGGTCAAGGGTCACAGAGGAACGGAAGTCAAGAGGGCAAGCTACTTGGGGAGGTGGACAGCAGGATAAAAACAGTTATAAACAAATTCTATAAAAAACTGAAAAATATTATTCTAGTTCCAGGATTTATACACCATTTAGGGCCAGCATATCTGGCAACCAGGACCCCAGACCCGAGGAGCAAGAGTGTTATGGCCTACCGGTACTATGTGGTCCATACCTTCAATACGCAGCATTCTTAGTCTGTCCCTTATCCTTTGCCTTGAAGAGGCGCCTTATAAGCCCCCGTCGATCCCCTCAGTACCTCTATTGATACTGGTGATGGGTCAAAAGGGCCACCACTTACGGGCTATTCATGCCCGTGCCACATTTTGGGTGGCTTAATCTTCATCAATCATCAATCAATCCCTCAGTACCGGAAGAGGAGGTGGAGAAAAGAAAGATAACGAGCAGGAAGCATAAGAGAGCTGTGGTCTTTAAGTTCCAGGAGTGAGACTGGAAAGCAATAACAAGTTCTGGAATGTCATTTAGAAGCGTCATTTCCTTTAGGAATGACACTTCCCAATGACCTTCCCTAAATGGTAAAGCCTCGTGGAATGACCTTTCATTCTGATCTTCAGAAGTAATACTAAGCAATAACCTGTAATGGGACACTTAGCAAGAAATAAGGCATATAATGACCATATATTTTCGGATCTTAAGGGACTAGTTTTACATATGACATGAGGCCAGATTCACGAATCAGTTACGCAAGCACTTACGAGCGTGTACATCTTTTCGCAATCTTTGGCGGCTTTGTTTACAATTATTAAACAGTTAATGAGCTCCGAAGCACCAGGAGGCTGTTCATAACAATACCAATTGATTGTTAAGTTTTCATGTTTGTAAACTGTTTAATAAATGTAACCAACGCCGTCAAAGATTGAGGAAAGAGGTACAAGTTCGTAAGTACTTGCGTAACTGCTTCGTGAATCGATTGATGATTGATTGATAAAGATTAAGCCACCCAAGAGGTGGCACGGGCATGAATAACCCGTAAGTGGTACAATTTTTTGTTCAGTAAATCTTTTCAGTGTTTCGTGAATTATTGTTGTTAAAGATTCAGCTACTGGGAACAATGTTCCAAGTAGCACGGGCTATGGTGAGCCCGTAATGGACTTACCAGGCACAGGAGCGGGGCTGTAACTGTGTTTCTTGAATGTTGTTGTTATAGATTCAGCTACTCGGAACAAGTTCTAAGTAGCACGGGCTATGGTGAGCCCGTAGTGGACTTACCTGGCACAGGAGCGGTGTTGAATGAGTGTGTTTCGTGAATCTGGCCCCTTATCTTTATAGAGCTACCTTACAAATGGTCTCACCCTCTGACATTGATAAGCATCTGCTCAATCTGTTGCTGCTGCGACTGGTCGAGGCATGGAGGCACCGGGCTCATGAAGGCTTTCTGTGGACAGGTGCAAACACAGGTTTATTTTTTTAGGTCTTCAGTTATAACTGTTTATAATGGAAACAGGAAAGTCTCAGGCCTCACTTTCTCCTTAAACTAAACCCGTGGCTCAGTTGGCTTGTGTACAGGATTCCTGTACAGGATGGATATACACTTTTTATATCGCCAAGGCTTAAACACATATCTGGGAATTAGGCAACTGTTGTGATCTGTTAATGTCAGTTACAATTAACCCCACAGGCTTCCTGTCCTCGACACTGGGGAATGGAATGCACTATGGAATGGAATGGATAAATGGAATGCATTAGGCAGTGATGTGTTTATATATGGTGTTTATAAATCTTGTTTATCTGTATCTTTTGCTACCCAGTCTCCCAATCTTTATGTACCCAATCTGAACATGTTTACCATTGTGATCATTGCTGTCTTATATGTGCTGTCAATCTGCTGTATGGTGTCTATTAACCTTGTTTAAATTACTAATCAAGCTGTCAATGTAATCAATCAGAGCTTTAATATAACAATGTGCTTTAATATACCTACTTTTCTCTCTCATCTCATTTTTCTCTTGTAATGTATCTTTATCATTTATCAATTCTGATTGAAATTACCTACTTAAAATTATCTGCTAGATTAAGGACCTGCCCGAAACGCTGCGCGTACTAGTGGCTTTACAAGAATGTAAATACTGTACTATCCAATGTATTCTCACAAACCCAATGTACCTTCTTGTATATATATAAATAAATAAATAAATAAATAAATAAATAAATAAATAAATGTGGTGGAGGCTGACTCCATACACACTTTCAAGTGTAGATATGATAGAGCCCAGTAGGCTCAGGAACCTGTACACCAGTTGATTGACAGTTGAGAGGCGGAACCAAAGAGCCAGAGTTCAACCCCCCGCAAGCACAACTAGGTGAGTTAGATGAGTACTAGAAAGAAGTTTCCGTGCAGTCTCCGTGGTGTAGTGGTAAGACACTCGCCTGGCGTTCCGCGAGCGCTATGTCATGGGTTCGTATCCTGGCGGGGAGGATTTACTGGGCACAATTCCTTAACTGTAGCCTCTGTTTAACGCAACAGTAAAATGTGTACTTGGATGAAAAAACGATTCTTCGCGGCAGGGGATCGTATTCCAGGGACCATAGGATTAAGGACTTGCCCGAAACGCTACGCGTACTAGTGGCTGTACAAGAATGTAACAACTCTTGTATATATCTCAAAAAAAAAAAAAGTTCCCGAAGTACTGGAAAAGTTGTGTTAGTCCTATATATTATATGTTTTCTTTAACCGATCATTCAAGCTCATTTTCTGTCTTAGAGGGTAAAGTTAAGGGGATAACTAAGCTACTTTAGTCAGGCAGTTACAAAGGTGTACTCTTAAGGTCACGATCCGTAATAGGTAAGGGCAGACATAGCCTAAGCTAGTCTATCCTCTTGGGATGTATTGTATTATCTCAGTAAACTTGAACTTGATCGTTAATGTTGCTCGAGGATTTCTTCCCGAGGATATTTATGAATTGCCTTACTCCTAAGAAAACAGTTAAGTTTACTTGAAAATCTTGAATTTAGTTGTAATGTGACACTGGTAGTGATTTTTAGGGGTAACATACTTATCTAAGTATGATTGATCTTATCTACTTATGATTGACAATCTACTTATGATTGTCTTATCCTCTGTATCCCTTACAGTAAACTTTAAGCAAAATGTTGACATAGTTTCAACCCGTTGTTATGGTAACATAACGTATACTATGGTAATATATCCTACCCCCAACTGGCGTGTCAAACAGATTAAAGCGAATTACTGGTGCTTTATCCTCTTGTGTTGCAAAATGTAACTACATGAGGACCTACACTGATCAATTACTGATTGAAATAAGTGGCTTAGGAGCTGAAGGTAGTTGGGACAGACGAGGTATGAAACCAATATGCGGAGGGCACACAATTAAGTCCCCCCAGGGGGGAGGGGGACATGCGAGTAAGTCCACACGAGAGGAGGACACGACGGTAAGTCTTGGATGAGGGAAATCAAGGGGAGAGGACGAGGGGACACAAAGTTAAGTCCACACGAGGGGACACAAAGGTAATTCCAGGACGAGGGGACACAAGCACAATATACTAGCCTCCTTCGGGGGCAACAATCAAAATCAAGGGGTGAAATCAGCATGAGAGAACAAACATGTAAACAATAGGTTCAAATTAGCCAGAGATATCAGGCTTTTCTTAATTTTAAGACTAATGAGTTGAACACATTAGAAGAAGCATTGGAATTAAACCCCATACTAGAATTCAACTATAAATCAAGAAAATCCCACGGGGAGGAAATGCCATAAATCTCTCATTCCCGGAGTACACGTTAAGAACATACATGTCACACACAGGTACACAGAGACACACACAATGACAAACACACTCAAGAACTGTCACACACACTAACAAACTAACCTGGAGACGTTTGATGAACTCGTAGGAGGCGAATTCGTCCATTTTCTTCAAGTTATCCGCATTGAGGTCAAATGCACAGTTACCAAGCTTGTTTAGCTCACATATTCCCAGCTGGGCTCCCGACGTACCCATCTGGGGAGACAGGAAGGGAAGAAAGACGGCCAAACTATTTAATTATTTTCAATTTCCGATAGTTAAAAAGCTTGTTTATATCAACTAAGAAGTTTACTTCATTCAGAAATGTAACTGCACATCTCCTAAAGGAGTGACAATAAGGAGCAGAACTCTCTTGAGTGGGATATGACCGTGTTTATACTTCATGACAGATGAACAAATCCACAAGGGCCGTGACGAGGATTCGAACCTGCGTCCGAGAGCATCCCAGACACTTCATTTGATGCATCACGCAATTGTGAATTCTGTGTGTTCATGACAGATGCTCAACGCCACCAATTAACCACCTGTTGTCACTTGTATTTAAGGTCACTTGTTTACATGAAAATTTGCCTCTGAAGTCCGTAATGGTTTTAAAAATCTGCTTTCATATGAAATGATATATTATAATATTAAGACAGCATTGAAGAGTACATCATTGCATATCAGTTTGGCGAGGTTTTGGTTGATTTGTTGTTGGTCTTCAGGACTACAACCTCTGGAGGGTTACCGGGCTCCCCACAATAGCTTGCTGATCAACCACTAAAGTACACTCTAGTCTGGCGACATTGTTCAAGACTAATGTAAACTCTTAAGTGTATATATACCGAGAACTATAGTCCACCTCACGGTGTATATATTCCTTGTGTTTGATGTGGAAGTAATCTTTCACTGTCAAGTTAGAGTTTACTTAAGTTAGAGATCATTCAAGGTCAAGATTAATTTTTTTATGCAAATATTTATAGACTGTCATCAGTATTAAGTTGTGTATTGTATTTATTGTATTCGATAACTATTTATTTAATACTAATTGATTAATATTTATAATATAACTAACTATAATACTAATTTGTATTGATTGATTGTACAATAGACTATAATACTAATTTGTATTACTATAATACTAATACTATTACTATAATACTAATTTGTATTACTATAATACTAATACTATTACTATAATACTAATTTGTATTGATTGATTGTACAATAGACTATAATACTAATTTGTATTACTATAATACTAATACTATTACTATAATACTAATTTGTATTGATTGATTGTACAATAGACTATAATACTAATTTGTATTACTATAATACTAATACTATTACTATAATACTAATTTGTATTGATTGATTCGATAACTATTTATTTAACATAAACTCAACGAGGTCACTGATACTAAAGATATAAGTGAAATACCAAATCAATATTTATAAACGATAATTAAGAAGCGAAAGGGGAGGGGGTAGAAATAGCCTAAGCTACTCTATCTCTTTGAGATGTATTTCTTGCTTATCTCAATAAACATACTTGAACTTGAACTTGTAGAAGCGAAGACTATACAATACTTTGTATATCGCATTGAATTACCTTAATTTAAATATTCTACAGTATCTCCCAATGTAAATACAAATAAATGAAACACAATCATCGAGATAAAAGCCTCATAGATAAAAATGAAAATTCCCATCACCGGGAAGGATACATTAATTTAATGATAGCAAATATTCTCCTTGATATCCTGAACAATGATGGAGACATTTGTGTAGGCTGGCATGTACTGGATATCCTGGCCGCCGGTGTGGCACCTAAGTCACCATCATAGGAAGATGGTAGATATCCTAGCAGCATGCGTATGTCTGCTTGTGATCTGCTTATCTTTTACCTTGCCATGATTTCGGGACTCAACGTCCCTGAGGTCCAGTTCTCGACTAGGCCTCCACAAAGCTTGGCTTACACAAACCATCACAGTCTTCTAGACATAACATCAGGGAACGGGACAAGAAGCAGCCCGCCTCTGTAATCTTCCTCAGCTTGTTAGCGCCGACACAGATATTCCAACAATTCTGCCAAGATTCATAGCAAACTGACGTAATTCCAGGATGGAATTCCCCAAATGAAAGGAAATACAATTAGGAAACACAGTTCACATGTTTTGCTTACCATGTCACTGACAATAGAGTTGATGAAGAGGCGCCTGCCGTCCTGGGGGATGGTGGAGAGGACGTTGGCCTTACACATCTGCATCAACAACACCTGCTTCATCTCCCCGTTCAGCACTTGCAGGGCAATGTCTCTGTCCAAGTGAGAGACACACTGAGTGAGGTAGAATGTGGGAGGCAGATTGTCCATAAATAGCTAAGAGGTGGCTCCCAGAACTGAAGCTTATTCCGCACAAACACAGACTTAGTATGTCACATATACACTTATTCATAAGCCAAATATTGACTATAAGCAAGTGCGAGAACGGGTTGCACAGACAGACGAGCGTATATAAGTTGACATGTACACAAAATAAAGCTGGCACATAAAACAGCAATCAAGAGCATGGAATCAATCAAAGCAGTGTTCACCACCTGTATGAAAGCAGAGCTAGAGTCTGCCTTGCCTTGCCAAGCATACAAAAGAACATTTAAGAAAGTTGAGAGGCTATTAATATAATTAAGAGAGAGAGAAAGATAACTATTCCTATAATTGCCATGAGAAAGTGGCAATGAAGACTCGAACACAACATTAAAGATAATTAGAGATATCGTTAAAATGAACAAGATCAACCTTAACTACATAACATCATCGGCACATGCAAAGCTGGAAAGCATTTATGAAGTCTTTAGGAGCCAGGAAAGTTAGTATTCAGGAGCCCCAACAAATAAGTCGTCAGGAGCCCAGGCAAGTTAGGCTTCATGATCCACACGAGAATGTTGCAATTTACTGTCGTATAAAAAGCTAGAATATATTGGCTGAGTATGGGATCACAACCAAAAACAGTTCTGACCTAAACTGATACCCAGATAGCTTCGAACACTGAAGATATCGCTAGGATACGATAGGATAATCTCCGATTTAGTTCCTGATCTTAGAGAGTTAAGCTATGAAACCATGAGGGGTCTCCAGCTATTGGCAACTGAGAGATAGAGGCCAGGAATATCAGGCTCGCCTTGCAAACACCAGTATGCGAAAAAACAACATATTTCAGCGAGCAGTGGTGTAAATCTTGTGCTGCACTCACCCCATGTCCACGGCGACACACGGTGGGATACTCGTCACATCTTTGAGGAAGAGTTGCTGGCCAACATCAGTGAGGGACTTGAGTCCGGTGGGCATGTTAGTGGCGGCCCAGTCCGTCAACTTGTCTCTGAACACTCGGCACTGATGTTAAGAGAGGGAGAGAACAACACGTGAATGCCCTGTGTTCTTAATGGGGGTAGAAGTAGCCTAAGCTACTCTATCCCTTTGAGATGTATTTTTTGTTTTCTTGTCTCAATAAACTTACTTGAACTTGAACTTGTGTTCTTAAAGGGAGAACGCCACGTGGACGATACGTGTTTGTAGAAGAAATATAATTGTGTGGACGTGTAACTTTAATGGTCGTGAGGTAAATATTGAATCCTATTAAAAGCAAAAGTCTAGAGTTTTGTTATAATTATTTAATCAAATGTGTTGCATTAACAACCGGTACTGAAACGTCTTAGAAGGTCAAAGTGCGAGTTGACCCCTCTATAATCTATATCTATAAAATATATATGTTTATATTCCGTAAGGAGGTTAAGAGTATAGCTTACACCGCCATGTTAGACCCCAGAAGTGTACTGTATTTGTAACACACGAGCACACACAACAAATACTTCAGAACTCCAACATATAATGGAGCAATGTGGTTTTGGAATGTACTACTCACATTCTCCATATACTCACTACTCACAATGTACTCATTGTTCTTCATTATATTGAAAATGCAATACAATTTGATTTAAAATGATAAATAGAAAATACTCACTGCTGCCATGGACAGAGGTTTACCAGACACCTTGATAGCATCGAACACCTTAAAGAGGTCCTTAGGAACCACCTTCATGGCATCAGCGGCACTCATGCAGGGCAGGAAGTTTATGCCCTGGCTGACCACGGTGGCCGTCAGGTTAACTGCTCCTCCGAAGGTCACGTTGGCACCCCGCAGGCACTGTGGAAAGGGCACAGATGTTACTGGCTGTGGCTTAACCCCAAACGGTCAAGGGACCCCTTGACCTCGATGAAGACGATATGAAGCATCCGGGGAAGCCTTGTGGGGGCACCTGTGTACACTAATATATTGTTTTCTCCTACCACCCTCTATATATATTGTGTATTTTGTCATTTTATTTTATTTAAAACTTCATTACACAAAAAGATATATAACATTGGTTACATGCAAGGTACAAGGCTAGTTGGCCCAGGTTGTCAAGTTCCTTCAGCTCGGCGGGTAGGAACCATGGATGTAGTGAGCATTTCCTCTCTGGACCACCACACTAAGGAGCTGAAAGAGGAAACTGCCGGCTTTAGGGTCTTTAGTTGTTTCACTTAGCTTAGAACCCAACTCCTTCAAAAAAACTAGCAGCACTTTACCCCAGGCACAAAGTGTCTCTGAGGCAATGGGGACAAAATTGTAGTGATGATCAAGATCTCTGTATTAACTAAACTTGGCTACTTCCCGGTGAGTGGCAGCGCCGCCTGGCTATGCAACACTGAAGTCAATATAGGCGTTGGCTATAGTTGAAGCAGTTTTATGTATATGTAGACCTAGGGTAGGTTAGGACAGGTATTTTGGTTCTGTTCACAATTATTTGTTTTTACACTAAAAGATATAGTTTATAAAAAGTGAGCTCTGACCATAAGAACTCCAGCCTCACTCAATTCTTTTTGAGATATGTACAAGAATGTAACAACTCTTGTATATATCTCAAAAAGAATTGAGTGAGGTGCCATAACCCAAACACGGGTGTCAGATTAGTAGCATAGAAAACAGAGACTTAGTAAGTTCTATGACAGTCTGTTGTTGTGGTAGTGTTGTAGTGACCATGTTTAAAACTATTCTCGAGATCGGCTTCATTTGCTTCCCTAAACACACCCAAAATTAAGGTAACAATTATAGTCAACAAGAACTCACTGGCAGGGAGTAGGGTGACATGTCTCTGGCGAGCACGGACAGGCTGCCCTGCCCAAGACCTCCAATCTTCCTGGTGGGGGCGTACTCCTTGAAGAGCGGGGTGTACGAGGACAGGTCCGTCGGCGGCAGCTGGGGAAACAACAATTGGTTGAGTGAGTGATTCATTTCAAAGTTGATTGAATGAGTGATGGCAAGTACCTTGCCAAAGATTATTTTGTTACTGCTAAGTAAGGACATAGTATCGAGATGCACTTATGACTTATGTAATGACGTCCAATTATATGCAGACATTTATTTATATGGATGGAAAACTGTAGTTTAAAGTCAGTGAATGCAGCCACCTGAGGCACTAATGAACATAAAATCCAATATTACCACACACACACACACTGTTTACCTAGCGGTAACCAGGTGAATAGTGTGTGTGGCTAGAGGTTAGTGTGTTGCATCCTCGGGAAGGTCAATCATTGGTCTACGGAGACCTCAGCAAGCCTAGCACCTTTCTCTCCCCAACAGCGGGATGCCACAAGCACAAACAATTACCTGTGACATAATGACGTCAATTTGGTAAGTCGTCAATGGCTGACTTGTGGCATGAGCCTTGTCGACAATCTGCTTCCAGATTGCCTTGCTCTGGCCCTTGAGGAGGTCCGGGCTGATAAGGATCTTCAAGGAGTCGATGAGCTGGGTGAGTGTGAACACGCCGTTGGTAAAGGCCGTCGCCATGTCCGCCTTCATCAGTGCATTCATCTGCAAGATGATGAGGTTGCTATTACAACTGACCCTCTAAAAATGATACTACTTAATGCGACTATGGATAGTATGTAAAAAAAATAATGTTTTTTAGCCCAACAAAAGATCCATGTATACTACCAGGTCGAGCATAGTACAAATTTATACTAAATTAGGTCTAAGACTGCACATGGAATTGCTTATTTTGGCGAATTTTTTCACCTAAATTAAAATGAAGGGGACTAACAGGCCCTATTTTGTACAATACATTTCATAGACGCTAAGGAAACTACCATTTATGGAGACAGGGTTGTGATTTTTATACAAAATCATATATAACGAATAACGAAGACGAAGTTGTCGCCTGTTAGTTGATAATATATGTAAGTTTTTAAAGATAATACAGCCTAGTGTCAACAGATATTTTAAAAGATGTTCTGTGTTACAATTCTTGAAGCGGCTGGCTGGCTGAGGCTACCACACTTGCTTCGATATTTTGGGAAGGGTTAAACATCCATAAAAATTGTTGGGCGTTTTTAAATTGGTGATTTTGAATGAAAAGTAGTTTTTTCTTTGTTGGAAATTGGTTACAAAAATTTATCGTTGAATTATTTAACTTTTGGGGGAAATTAATGATGTGAAGTTATACTTTTATTTCCACTTTTTTTTAACACTGTTGGTGTTGGATAGAAATTGTTTGGCTTGCCTGGGATGAATGATAATTTGTAATTAGCTGTAAGCGCTTGGAACCAAGTTAGCATGATGGTTAGAAATTGTCTGGAGGAAGTTTGAAGTGTTAGGACATTTAGAGAAGTCTTGTGGGTTGGGGAAGGGGAAACGTCTTCTGAAAATAATTGTAACATGTCGGTAAGATGTGAAGTAGAAATGGTTGTAAAAGATGTCAACTTTGGGATCGAATTGTTGGGAAGTAGAACCGAATTGGGTGTAAGTAGTTGGACATGATGTGAGAAGATGGTTGGACTAACGTGAACAAATATAATGGGGGAATAGATAGGAATAAAGTAACAGGCACTATTTATATGGGAAAAAACACAGAATTCGAAAGATTTGTTGATGTTATGAAATTTGTTTGGATTCACTTCAGTTAGAAACAGTTGGAATGATTCTAAGTATTGGGAATAGTTAGTTATTGTACCCACCTTAGCTGAGAACTCTGGACCTTGGACCCTCATAACACTAGAGTCCATGTATGGCAGGACTGTGGTGAGCAGCCCACGCCTGGCGGCGGCCTTCAGGTAGCAGGCAGGAGCCCTCATCATCAATGGCCCTCCTGTACATACACAACTCTACGTCAATAGGCTGGCGAGATGCCTTGTCCCAACACCCTAAATGGAAAACTAAATCCCAGTCAAAGACAAATTGACTTCAAAGTCCTCGTCCACTCACAAAACAGTGCTGTTACTGACTACTTTGAGAGTACATCATCTGAAACAAAACACAACATTACCGCTGAGGTGCGGGAGAGCCACAAAGGTTGGTAACACTCACCCAGAGCATCAACATCTTGCTTGGTGATGTTGTCGATGGTCTTGCTCGACAGTGCGTCCTGCAGGATGATGCTGGCGTCCTACAGGAAGGAACAGGGGAGCTTAGATTTCTGGCAAGGGAATGAAGAGGAGAGTTAAAGCGAGAGAAAGAGAGGGAGAGAACGAGAGATGATGAGGAATAAAAATATGGTGTCCCCATAATGTGTTCTTGGGGATATAAATAAGACACTAGAGTACATTTGAATATGTCCTGGTGTATACCCCAGTCATTCCTTCCGAGACTTTCCTTGTAGCTCTGTAAGGGCACTTACCTGAGGGTTCATATCCTTGCCCCTAAGTTTGGAGATGTTGTATGTTATGGTCTGGAGAGTGGGATCAGCTTGTCCAGCTGGTGACAGGTCTGAGGGTCCCATACACACCTGCAGAGTGCCCAGGCTGTTGTACCACGCGGTGTCCTGTGTGCAAGAAGTAGTTATATTGTGTGGTTATGGTGTGGTGGTATGTGTTACGGTGTGGGGTAATAATTCGTCTATAATGGTGCAGTTATGGGGGGTAGGTGTTATGGAATATGGTTATTGTGTAAGTTTATAAGTACACTGTGAGTATGGTGGGTGGTTAATGTGTTATTATACAGGGAGATTATCATGCGTGATTAGTAATGCATTATGGTACACGATGATAATGCTGGATTACTAATGCATTGATGTAATGGGTGATTAAGGCACCTGATAAAAACGGATAAGTCATAAACATTATGGAAAATATCCACAGTACAATGTTAACAAAACACACGTGACGTCGTAATGACATTAATCTCAGACATCAACACAATACCATAACAGGTCGAGCCATAACATCAAGGCCGTCAGCCATTAACTGTTGATTATTCTTATTAATAAGTATAGACATTATGAGTGAAGTAACCAGCCTACCTTGCTGTGTGATGCAGGTGGCCTACCAAACCAGGGAGAGAAAGAGAGAGGGAGAGAAAGAGAGAGGGAGAGAAAGAGAGAGGGAGAGAAAGAGAGAGGGAGAGGGAGAGAGAGATAGAGAGAGAGGGAGAGAAAGAGAGATAGTGAGGAATAAAAATATGATGCCCCCATAATGTGTCCTTGGGGATCTAAATAAGACACTAGAGTAAATTTGAATATGCCCTGGTGTATACCCCAGTCATTCCTTGTTGCTCTGTAAGGGTGGTACATCGTCGGTGAGTTTACAGTAGTTTACCAAGAGTCAACACGGGTCCTCCTCCACAGCCTCGTGTTGACAACATCAACATTGTGGCCAACACTAATGATCCTCATTTGCTCTTATAGCACTAATGTTGATTACTATTTAGAAAATATACTTTAGCTTAGTGCTAAGGTCTTAATTAAAATAAATAAGCATATTATTTATAAATTATCAATTGAAATCAATAAATTAGCGCCTCGTGTGGCCTCACCACGCCAACACTAATGATCCTCATTTGATCTTATAGCACTATTATTGATAACTATTTAGAAAATATACTTTAGCTTAGTGCTAAGGCCTTAATTAAAATAAATAAGCATATTATTTATAAATTATCGATTGAAATCAATAAATTAGCGTTCGTAGAGGTTGCCAGTGTAGACTATAATGATAACATGACTGACTAACCATCCTGTGTGATGATTTTTAGCATCATGTAGCTTTGTGACACACTATATTTCCCTTCATATACTCTAGGGGGTAGCTGCACAAATGCATATGTACCTAAATGTGTTAAAAATAATAAATATAACCAGTGGGTTAAAGAGACGCCACAGTGTTGGTGCTCGGGCCATGGCGGCGGCGGCGGCTGGCCTCCACCTTCTGTGTTTTTGTTTTGTTTTTGAGATATATACAAGAGTTGATACATTCTTGTACAGCCACTAGTACGCGTAGCGTTTCGGGCAAGTCCTTAATCCTATGGTCCCTGGAATACGATCCCCTGCCGCGAAGAATCGTTTTTTCATCCAAGTACACATTTTACTGTTGCGTTAAACAGAGGCTACAGTTAAGGATTTGCACCCAGTAAATCCTCCCCGGCCAGGATACGAACCCATGACATAGCGCTCGCGGAACGCCAGGCGAGTGTCTTACCACTACACCACGGAGACTTTTCATGGAGTTTTATACGCTGTGTTGTGCTCGGCCGACCGTCAGGTGTTGTTGTGAGCACGGGGGGACCCGGACACGTGTTTAACACCTGGCTAACAGATGCAATAAGCTGTTATTAGTCAATGAATCGCCATGAGAGAACGCGAGACTTGGGCTCCGAGGACGCCACGCCATGTGGACCGCGGCTACATATATATATATTGTGCCTGACCCTAGTAGTAGGCATCCATCAATCTCAGGAGACTATGGAGTTGCGCTCTGATGTCGGCCTGGTCTGGAGTGGCCTCACCAGGGCGCAAAGCCAAGGTAGGTTGATTCGGGGGGAGAAGTTGTTACCCATGCAGCAGGTCTCCCCCTCTCTCCATGGCGGCGAAAGTCTCCAATGGAAAGTCATACGCCAATACGATTGGTTGCCTGACCCTACGCTTAGTGTATTAAATCAACTACAAGTTAACTTGGTTACCTCATCTCCAACACAGAATTAAAGGACGGTTTGGGGCCATGTGTGATTTATTAGTTTGACGTAAGATAATGTTATACATGCCACTAACTATTTATCCCACAGGAACACCGGTAATGAGACCGAGTTAAACTCCACACCAAAGAATGTAAAGTTAACCTTTCATTAAAAGAACAAATCCACAAGGGCCGTGATGAGGGTTCGAACCTACGTCCAGGATGATCCCAGACGCGTCTTGAGTCCACTGCGCCACGCCATCATTAATTAATGTATTAATTTTGTGATAATAACATCAATGCCATTTCATTTATTCTAATTAATTACAATTCTTATGATAATATGCTAGGCTATAGTATAGAAGTAGTGCCGCTCTAGACTGTTAATGGGTGCTAACAGTGAACCAGCGCCTCGCTCTTTAACAATAGTTGAAGTAATTATGCTAATGGGGACCCTTCCGGCAGGTGTGTGAAGAGGCAGCGGCTACCTACGTGTATTATATGACCTATTATCCCAGGAGTGTGGACCCTATGGCCCATTATCCCAGCAGTGTGGACTCTATGGCCCATTATCCCAGGAGTGTGGACTCTATGGCCTATTATCCCAGGAGTGTGGACTCTATGGCCCATTATCCTAGGAGTGTGGACTCTATGGCCCATTATCCCAGGACTATGGACTCTATGACCTATTATCCCAGGAGTGTGGACTCTATGGCCCATTATCCCAGGACTATGGACTCTATACTACTCTACGGAACTCAGCTAAGTTGAGTCATTTCTTTCATTATTTATCATTTTGCAATTTAATTATTAGATAGTATTCTAGAGTAATTATTGTAGTCAGACTCCATACCCACAAAGACTCAGGTCCTTCACAATTGCTTCATTTTACCAGCACTCAATTGCATGATTATTTATTTAATGTAATGTTCTATGTAAGGATTTTGAATTGGAATAAGTGTTGAGAGGTAACAACCCACATGAATGGTTATAAGGTTATCGTACATGTCAATGGTGATTGGTTATATTGGATGGTTGAGGAGGGCTGTAATTATGGGTAATTATGGTGCCTGCTGTACTATATAGTTATGATGAGTGGGTATAGTGGTTGGCAGGTGCATGGTGTGTTAATGGATGTTTATCAAGGTGGCCGTTGTGCTTATGGTGTGCTATGGTGTGCTGGCTATACTGGTGATAGTATGCTAATGTTAGCGCAACCCCCCCCCACCACCACCACCACCACCACCACCACACACACATGATAGAGCCCAATAGACTCACGAATCTGTACACCTGTTGATTGACGGTTGAGAGGCGGGACCAAAGAGCCAGAGCTCACCCCCGCAAACACAACTAGGTGAGAACTAGGTGAGTACGCAGGCATTAGGCGAAGCTGGAAAACGTTCAGAGGTATTCCACTAGGCTAGTCCCAGAACTAAGAGGCATGAATTACGAGTAAAGGCTGCATGAAATGCACCTCACGACACTGGAAAACAGAAGAGACACGATCACAACCTACAAAATTCTCAGGAATTGACAGGGTAGATACAAATAAACTGTTTAACACGAACAAGGGGACACAGGTGAAAACTAAGTACCCAAATGAGCCACAGGGACGTTAGAAAGATCTTTTTCACTGTCCAGAGTAGTTAATAGCTAGAATGCATTAGGCAGTGATGTGGTGGAGGCTGATTACATACACAGTTTCAAATGCAGATATAATAAAGCCCAGTAGGCTCAGGAACCTGTACACCAAACCATTTAGCCTACAAAGTTGGGTGAGGCTAGCCTCAAACGTTGGACAGACAGAGCAACATTCTTTTACTGAAATAGACATTCCCTGCCAGCTATACTTACAGCTGCAGCTGTCATGCCGGTACACTGCTCGGCTTTACAGAGCGCTGCCTTCCAGCTCTCGCACACCTGGTACTTTGTGGCCGGGATCTGCACCTGTAGATGAGAAGCGGTTGGTAGGTAGGTAGATGGCTGGGTACGTGGGCATTTAAGTAAGTAGGCGAATGAGTATAAAGGGAGGAAATGAGAGGGAGGATGGGATAAAGATGGGAGGGGGGGAATGGAAATGGAGAGGGAGGAGGAGGAGAGGGGTGTGATATATAAGCAGGTAATAATTGGTGGCAATACCCTACGGGCTCACCATAGCCCGTGCTACTTGGAACTTTTTGTTCCCAGTAGCTGAATCTTAAACAACAACAACATCATGGCAATGCCGGGAGGAGGGAGGGAGGGGGGTGTTATTGGTGGTCAGAGTTGTGGTAGATATGCACTAGTGGTTATAACTGGTGCAAGTATGGTGGTGATATTCATAGCAATGGTGGTAGTATAGCAGCGGTGATAATATAAGTGGTGATGACAGTATTAGGTCTAATAATGGTGAATATGGTGACGATAATGGTGAGTGGTAGTAACAATAATGGTGACCATAATGGTGAAACTGGGGGTGATAGAGATGGTGTAAATGGTAATGCCACTGACGGTGAGTGTTGACAGTAGTGGTGGAGACCTTGGTGACGAGGGTAGCCCCCAGCAAGCAACATACACACATATATATAACAAAGCATACAGAACACGCAAGGAATGCTACGCAATGTAACTCCCAGTTCAATGTCACATAATGAACACGTCGTGAACACGTCGGGCGGTGAGTCTACCTGACCCTCGGCTCTTCCATCACTTCTACCAAACTGTCCTCACACGTAATACACAGCACTTTTACGCTTCCTCGGACTAATGAGGATGGAGTGACTTTGATACGTTAGCTGGTTTTTGCCTTGGTTCGTACGCTTTTGGCTAGCTAAAATCACTTTTTATTTAACGCTTGTCAATCCGTGAGAACGGGTGCTCTGATAAATGACATCATTGAAGTCTGACCGAACATAGAATAGCCCACTAACCACAAGGAGAGTGTCTCCTGTGAGGAGGTACTTAAAGGAACCACAGTAACGTGATGTATGTATGAGGGAATCTTTGGAGCAGGATGGGAATCGAACTGGAACCTTGGGAAGTGTCAGCATTCGAGAGGTAAAGAGTACTTATCCCGTGTTATGCTTGGTGTGGTGGTGGTACTGTGGGAGCTGCAGGAACGGTGCCTGTGCTACTGTGCTGGATTCACTATCATCTACAGTCATATCTTGCTACAAATATGACATGTAAACAACTGCTGGCTGGGTCAGCTTGACGAGTTATATATAACCAGACTACAGTATGGTGGTAAATAAGTTTGGTGTGAAATAATATAATTGATAACTTAAACTCTGCTTGGTCTTGAAGGAAGCCGGCCTCGGGGTGAAAGAGGGTTGTGACGATCTCTGTCTGGGAACCTGTAGGTGTGGGACTGGGACGTCCACCACCTGGGACTCGTGCAGCCCGGCCTCTGCTTCAGGAGGCTGGGGTCGTTCTTGCCCCTGCTGGGGTGGCCCTTCTCTTGCCCCGACCACGGCGGTTTCCGGGTTTGGAGTCCCTGTGCCTTCTTTCAGCAACTTCGAGGTCAACTCCTGAGCTCACAGTTCCTGCGACGGCGCTGGAACCAATCGTATTGACGTTTCCCCTTCCATTTGAGACTTTCAACGCCGTGGAGAGAGGGGGGGGGGGACTTGCTTCATGGGTAACAGCTTCTCCACCACATCAACCTACCCTAGCTTTGCGCCGTGGAGAGGCCACTCCAGACCGACAACCAGAGAGCAACTCCACAGTCTCCTGAGACTGATGGATGCCTACAACTACTGCCTTAAACTTTGCCACCATCTCACGAGGTTAGTAAAGTATGGTTAACTCTGGAGAAAAAGCTTCTAGGCGTTGTTTACCAGCGTGTGGGTCAAAGAACAGTTGATATTAACCATCTGCAGTGTTTCAGTTATTTATAATTACTTTGTGTAGTTCTTATGTTATAAAGCAGTAACAATGATACCCATTATTTTGTTATATTTTGAATATTCATTATTAATAGGATCATTGTAATGTGTTCAGTAATGAAAACAAAGAAAATTATCTGGTGAACTTGGTAACTATAACAATTCAAGTGTAATACATACTTGTGGTATGTATATTAGTGGTTGTAGCACACAGCCCGCCTAGATATATATATATATATATATATATATATATATATATATATATATATATATATATATATATATATATATATATATATATATATATATATATATATATATGTATATATATATATATATATATATATATATATATATATATATATGTGTGTGTATATCACGAAAATAAACACGTGATTAAGATTGTGACAATGTCAGACCACGGAGGAAAAATGAAACAGGAATTATATATATATATATATATATATATATATATATATATATATATATATATATATATATATATATATATATATATATATATATATATATAATATAATATGTGGCAGACTCATATTATATATATAATATAATATGAATCTGCCATGGGGAGTGTGGACGCATGTTATGGGGTATATACAAGCATAAGGTATAAGAAGTGTTATATTTCAGTAATGGTAATGGTTGGTGGCCCTTGTGGTGCCCTAATCAACTCCGCCGCTGACCCTGGCCGCCGCCTTGCAGTGAGTGTCGAGCTGTGTGGCAATGTTTACCAGTGGCTTGGTGTGTTTGGCTGACTACTTGTGTGGTGGTGAACATTTCTACAAGTGTTGATGATTACCGAGGGCGGGGTGGTAAGAGTATTGACGAGGGTGGTGTTGGCAGCCGGCCTGCGTCTCTCTTTGGTCTTCATCTCCTGCAGTGGGACACGGGTTGAAGGGCGACCCCGAGGAGAAGAAGAGGGTGCAACAAGGAATACAGGTGATTATATTTATTTTCTATCTGATAGGTGCTTGGAACAGGGGCTAGGTTACTATTGGTGCTCGAGCCATCTTTCAAAGGGTGTTTTGGGCCTGGAAATGCTTTCTGTTGATGAAACGTGACTAACAATAGACCAGAGAGCAACGTATCAGATCAAAGATGAAAATCCACACAGGAAAAGATAGAAATTATTAAGTGATGCAACAGAACTGCGGTTCTTAGCGACAGACAAAATATGCAGCGAATCAGAAATGTAAATCACCTCATGAATTCAGATATCTGCAGAATGAGGGGGATGATATATGAGAATAGATTCATAACAAGGAGCAATGTCAGTACATGACAGAATATCCATGATCCGAAGAAGCATAATGAATTGTGCATGGGAGAAGTAATCAAGGGATGTCTTAATATATACGACAAGGTCGAGGTCATTGGTAGAGGCTGCCTGCCGTCAGGGATACATCAGACACTGGTGTCGTGCCTGAGGCTTCAGCCACTACATACATGGTACCCAAGTACCATGTATGTATGCACCTCTTCACCTAGCAGAAAAATGTGCCTGGGAATTTGAGAGCTGCTATGGTCTGCTTCTTGGGAGGCATAAGCACAAGATAAAGCTTAAGTCAGACAAACGCCACGTAACGAAATTTGTAAAGAAGTTTTAGAAGCTGTGTAAAGGTTGGATTATTTGTCTCAGCCTCGTTACTGTGATGTATTCTCTTCAGTGTTCTCATTATAAACAGACTCGCCATGAAATGGAAGAGATCGTACAATGATACGATTGCAGACGATGAGTCACAATAACGTGACTGAAGATATCAGCTTGATATCTTTAGAAGATATCAGCTTGATATCTTTAGAAGATATCAGCTTGATATCTTTTGAAGATATCAGCTTGATATCTTTTAAAGATATCAGCTTGATATCTTTTGAAGATATCAGCTTGATATCTTTTGAAGATATCAGCTTGATATCTTTTTGATGTGTGCTTTGGTCCTCATATATATACGACTTTTTACAATATTTAGGTTAAATTATATATATGGATAGACCAGTGGATAAAAGTAAAGTATTCACTATGTGATAGACAAGGCTTACGGTGCTGTAGTATGGTATCCAACCCTGGAAAAAAAAAAGTGATAAAATAGAAAAGTTCTAGAGACGCAACAAAATGGATTCTAGTGATTAAAAATGATCAACTATGGAAGGTGGAAGTCACTGGAAATATTCATCCTGAAAGACAGAGTAAAGATAATATTTGCCAATTATCATCACTGGCAACAATCAAATCAATCTTGAGCAAGATTGTAAGAAGTTACAAATCACTAATCAATGAATTTGTTTAAACCAATCATGGGGGGGAACACTAAGACTAATTCGCTTAAGCCAATCATGGGAAGAACGCTAGGAAGAATTTGTTTAAATTAATAAAATGAAGGTATAAAATATTGAACCTAGTGGGATCTCTTATGAGATTATCTTTACCAGTGTAACCCAACATTGGTAATATCTTAACCCCCCCCCCTCCCCGGCCTCAATATACACACACATCCCACCCTACCATACACTCAGCCCACCTCCACCATACACACAACCGTCCCCCCATCAAACGCACAATTCCCACCCCTACCACACACACACACACACACACACACACACACACACACACACACACACACACACACACACACACACACACACACACACACACACACCTTTCCCCTCCACTTAATACACACACGCAACATGTCTCGCACAAACATACATCAAGCACACACACACACGACACCTCAACACACAACACCTCAACACACAACACCCGCAAAAATACTACACAACCTAAGGGGTGACAGCGCATGTAACCCCGTTTCCCTTCCTGTTCCTGTATCCCACACAAACACACACTCTCCCCTCTCACCTTAACAATATCCGGCTTGAACATCTTAATTAAGGAATCACTGAGATAGACGACAGCATAGTCAGGTATCATGTTGATACCACCTATGTTGGCGACACTGCTCTGCCCCCAGGAAGACGGCGGGCCTTCCAAGCGAAGGGACATCATCTGGATAAGGTTCCACAGTTGACCCGGTTGAAGGCAGTTAGGGTCGGGGTTGGCTGTCAGACACATCTTGAGGACCCCCATGCTGTTGGTGAGATAGTGTTTGGAGTGATATGGAGTTGTGTATCTCTGTGTGTCGCTCTCTTAAACTAAGACTAGGGTTCATTATGAACGACACTGATATTAATAAAACTTGTAAGCTAATGACTGTTATCCTATTTCAGCTCGCCTGAAGCCTGTCCCTAGAAGTTCTACAACAAAATGTTTCTGACCAAACAGCAAGTTTAGTGTTGGGCCCATCACCCCTTGGAGGGTTACTAACGTCACCTCAACAGCTTACTGACCAGCCAGCAAGTATACTATAGTCCTGAACACCGTCCACGACTACAGTATACTCTCTCAGTGTATGCACCCACAAGCTGGCAACACCGTTCGGTGCATACATCTGTGGTCGATATGTTGTGTAATGTATTTCGGGAACTGGAAATGGTGTCATTTACCTCGTTTAACTAGCTAGCTGTGGTGTCTACTGGCCCGAAGTAAAAAAAAAGTGATTGAATTAATAGTAATAGCTAAATGAGTAGTCAATAATTATTTTGAGAAATAGTTTTAGTAGTGCAGCATATGTAGCCAACAACAGCAGTTAATGTAATCTAATAGTAGGAACAATAGCGGTAGTTTTAGTACTCCAGGTAAATCAAATTCAATATACATGCTTTCCCTACAGGTAACTGGCACGTCACCGGCAGCCTGGCTACTTGCTCTCAAGTCTTGCTGCGAGGAGAAGAGTTCTCTTATCTCCTGACCTCATCTCTCCATACAGGATCTGTAGCAGCATCATCCCAGCCTCACCAGATAACCTTTCTATGGACCTTAAGGTAAGGTGTTTTATTCTAAATGTCTCTACCTCGGTTTTCCATGCTTTCTCGCTCTCGCTATCTGACCTTATCCCTCTCACTACTCCCCCTCTCACTCTCCTTCACTCTTGTCTCCAGCTCCCCAGCCATACTTACACCGCCTGGGCAGTAGAGTCGTTCTGGACCTTGTCGACACAGACGGGTAGCAGGAAGAGAACTGGGCCGAGGTCAGTCACGTTCTGAGGAGACCACTTGGCGGGGTCACCCAGCCTTGACACCAGGGTCACGATTTCACTCAGTGTTAGCTGTTAGGGTGCTAATTTATTAAAGAATGAGCTCTCTCGGTATATCTCTCTCTACACACACACACACACACACACACACACCATATATATATATATATATATATATATATATATATATATATATATATATATATATATATATATATATATATATATATATATATATTATACATATAGGGACCCACAGCCTCAAAGAAGGAGGCTGTGTGGAGGATATATATATATATATATATGCGGAAAATCCACAGAGAAATATGAAATGAGGTGAACGTTTCGGCTTGTTAAAGCCTTTGTCAACACCAGACTCAAGCCGACTTTAACAAGCCGAAACGTTCACCTCATTTCATATTTCTCTGTGGATTTTCCGCATAAAATGATCAGTGTTTTGTGATCGTCAATTGCATATATATATACTAGAAAACGCTCACACATTTACAATTTTCTGAATGCATCCTGCGCATGACTTTCACGCCTGCACATACCGTAAACTATCAAGTCGTTCACACCCACTAATTTACCAATAACCATTATCATGCAAGGACATATTTACCAACATTTATTTCATGCACTTCCGAAAACAATTAGTTAATAATTGATGCAAAAACACATATATATAAGAGTATGTTTATGCTGGACCGGATGCCAGAACTACCATAACATCAATGTGAAATTGTATACATGTTACAATGTGTAATTGTATCCATACATATACAATAATTGTATACATGTATACAAATATTGACGCAAAAACACCTTTACAAGTCTTGTTGGTCTTTTAAAATACACAAAAGACGCAATTTTGTAAATACAGTACACTTAATCTCTTTTAATTTACTTATATGCATCGTAGAGCATTGTTTATCATGCAAAAATATGACATTGTTAAGATAAATAACACTAGTATGTAATATTGTGACTGAAGCAACAATAGTTGACTTGTACAGTGATCACCACACACTGTGTACACCTGGTGATTGTCTTGTACAGTGACCACCACACACAGTGTACACCTGGTGATTGTCTTGTACAGTGACCACCACACACAGTGTACACCTGGTGATTGTCTTGTACAGTGATCACCACACACAGTGTACACCTAGTGATTGTCTTGTACAGTGATCACCACACACAGTGTACACCTGGTGATTGTCTTGTACAGTGACCACCACACACTGTGTACACCTGGTGATTGTCTTGTACAGTGACCACCACACACAGTGTACACCTGGTGATTGTCTTGTACAGTGACCACCACACACAGTGTACACCTGGTGATTGTCTTGTACAGTGATCACCACACACAGTGTACACCTGGTGATTGTCTTGTACAGTGATCACCATACACAGTGTACACCTGGTGATTGTCTTGTACAGTGACCACCACACACAGTGTACACCTGGTGATTGTCTTGTACAGTGACCACCACACACACAGTGTACACCTGGTGATTGTCTTGTACAGTGATCACCATACACAGTGTACACCTGGTGATTGTCTTGTACAGTGACCACCACACACAGTGTACACCTGGTGATTGTCTTGTACAGTGATCACCACACACAGTGTACACCTGGTGATTGTCTTGTACAGTGACCACCACACACAGTGTACACCTGGTGATTGTCTTGTACAGTGACCACCACACACACTGTACACTTGGTGATTGTCTTGTACAGTGACCACCACACACAGTGTACACCTGGTGATTGTCTTGTACAGTGACCACCACACACAGTGTACACCTGGTGATTGTCTTGTACAGTGACCACCACACACTGTGTACACCTGGTGATTGTCTTGTACAGTGACCACCACACACACTGTACACCTGGTGATTGTCTTGTACAGTGATCACCACACACTGTGTACACCTGGTGATTATCTTGTACAGTGATCACCACACACAGTGTACACCTGGTGATTGTCTTGTACAGTGATCAGTAAACCTGTATTGACCCTATTGGAGGCAGCTCCTGTTTATATCCACCGAAACAATCAAGTGATCTCAGGTGTGTTAACCTGTAATCTGCTCCACAAATCAAAGTCCTGTTTCCTGACCAGTATTTACCCAGGTCTTTACTGAATTTGAACGTATCCCATTCATATGCATTCTTCCGAGTTTCATTTTGTGTTATATATTAAATACTTTATTAATATTTCCCTTGAAGATCAACTCTCAAGTAGATCATCTCACACATATTTTTGGGGGGTTAAATTCACATGTATTTAACTCCTTCGAGTCTTTGATATGTGTATTTAACCCAAAACTGTAACTCTGGCATTCATTACCTAGAGATGTCCCAGAGAGGAATGAAACGTTGTACCAAATATATCCATCAATGACTGCTACAGTTTCTTTACCATCAATTTTGGTAACTTGATTGCTCTTCTTAATACTGATACTAGTAATATATATATATATATATATATATATATATATATATATATATATATATATATATATATATATATATATATATATATATATATATATATATACATACATACATAACTCTAATCCAGACTCATGCACTACATATAGATAATAGATGGTTCAGTGTTTCACAAATTCTGGTCACAATAATCACATGCTAACTACGGACATAGTCCAATTGGACATTACTGTTTTATATTTAACTTTTGAGAGCCAATAGGTAAAGAGAATTTCCTCATAAACATGCAGACTTCTCCACTTGTTAGGGGGGGCAACATTGGAACAGTATTACCACATGCACATGCGGACCTCACCACCTGAAAGCCCTTAAATAATTGCCAACATTTTATACAAATTCTCTGGAAGTAATGGAAAGTGTTACTACATGAACATGCGGACCTTTCTACTTTAGTCCTTCAGTAAACGTTTACACCAATAATCTGGGAAGAATGTTAGGAGATAAGAGTACACATGCGGATAATTAAAACTTGACTACCTCACAGCCAGGAGCAGACGATGTTCCAGCAGTTGATATCAGCGTGCTACACTGTCAACAGCACACAACACCACAGAAAAAATAATTTGAATGCTTGGCTCCAAAGAATTAATTACAAATTAATTCATAGACAAAAGCCTAAAATTGTTGGAATCTTTTAGGAAAATTTGGGGTTTTCTCAGAGGGTTGGTGGAGGGGAGGGGGGAGTGCTGTTTACAAATATTAATTTATGTTTTTTGACTGACTTTGTTGTCAATGTTGGGAATTGGCTCATAAAAAGACAATTGTTATGTTATTAGTGACATATTGTTAGAATCTCTTTCAAGAGTTATAATATCCTGTTAAATTTTTGAGCCAGGAGGCAGTTTTAACATAATACTTTAATTAATGTACCTTGCCTGCGACGCCTTTCACAATATCAAATAAAATTATACAGATGTTTTTGCTTAAATACTGAGATTTCATGCGTCTCTAAAGCGGTTTTCACTTTTATTTAGATTTAGAAGCATAATCAACTAAAAGATGTGACTTTTAAGACAGCCTTATAATTCACTTAGAGGTTATATGTTAACAACTGTCTTAAATATTTCTTTATGAATTGCTTTCAAAACCCCACTTAACTTTACTGGCCAATTTCCAGAGGAATAAATCAGCAGTTTTAAGACAAAATAAAGACAAAAATTAATTGTTCCAAGACCAAAAAAGAGGACTTAACAATTCGTATGAAGAATTTACAGTTGATAAAGAGTCGAGTACAAGCACTCAGTGTAGTGGGTGCTCTTAGTGCTGAAGACTTACCATCAACTAGTTAGTCAATCGAGTTAACTAACTCGTTGTTATTTAAGTATTAGATTCACAAGGTGCAGGTGGATTTTCATAGCTAGAAGAAATAGATTTTCATAGCTAGAATAAATAGATTTTCATAGCTAGAATAAATAGATTTTCATAGCTAGAATAAATAGATTTTCATAGCTAGAATAAATAGATTTTCATAGCTAGAATAAATAGATTTTCATTGCTAGAATAAATTGATTTTCATAGCTAGAATAAATTGATTTTCATAGCTAGAATAAATTGATTTTCATAGCTAGAATAAATAGATTTTCATAGCTAGAATAAATAGATTTTCATAGCTAGAATAAATAGATTTTCATAGCTAGAATAAATAGATTTTCATAGCTAGAATAAATCGGTTTTCATAGCTAGAATAAATCGATTTTCATAGCTAGAATAAATCGATTTTCATAGCTAGAATAAATCGATTTTCATAGCTAGAATAAATTGGCCAGTTTGTTACATGCAAAAGGTAAAGGCCTAAATAAGAGTACTTTTAGGGACATTATTGCACAAGCATATTATAATAATTATATTAAAGCAATTAACAATAATGTTTTTTGAATTACACTGAAAAGTAATAAAAATATTTTTAAAAGATACAATTTTAAATAAAATCTAAGACTTTGCTCTAAGTATGTGTGTGTGTAATTACTTAAGTGTAACTATCTAAGTGTAGTTACAGGATGAGAGCTATGCTCGTGGTGTCCCGTCTTCCCAGTACTATTTGTTGTATAATGCTTTGAAACTATGTGTGTGTGTGGGGGGGGGGTGTACTTACCTAGTTGTGCTTGCGGGGGTTGAGCTGTGGCTCTTTGGTCCCGCCTCTCAACTGTCAATCAACTGGTGTACAGGTTCCTGAACCTACTGAGCTCTATCATATCTACATTTGAAACTGTGTATGGAGTCAGTCTCCACCACATCACTGCCTAGTGCATTCCATCTGTTAACTACTCTGACACTGAAAAAATTCTTTCTAACGTCCCTGTGGCTCATTTGGGTTCTAAGTCTCCACCTGTGTCCCCTTGTTCGCGTACCACCCGTGTTAAACAGTTTATCTTTATCTACCCTCTCAATTCCTCTGAGAATTTTGTAGGTAGTGATTATGTCTGCCCATACTATTGTCTTCCAGTGTCGTGAGGTGTGTGTGTGTAAATATGACCATACAGATGATGTATACAGTACCTGGCCGACTTCACTCTGGATCATGTTGATAACCTCCTCGTCCGTCTGGGTGATGAGCGTCATACGGTTCAACTCATCGAGGAACCTCTGGGGGACCTTGCCGGCTCCCATCTCTATGAGGTTGGTGACCTCGGACTTGCTGGCAGTCATTAGCATCGCCGGCTGGGAGGAGAGATGCTCGGATGAAGCCAACTTTGCCAACCAAGAGGAAGCCAACAACAACCAACTTTGTTTACCGAGGCTTCCTTAGTATAGGCTCCTATTGTTTGGGATAGTAAGCCTCTTATCTCGACCCTAATGGCAAACGCTTAGTCCTTTACCCAGGATGCAACCCACAACAGCTGACTATCTCCATGGTAACTATTTACAATGTGAATGGGCATCAAATGTTAGGAAGTGTGCCCAAACGACTCTACCAATAGGTTGTAAGCCAACTGCACTATCCCCCTGTTTGTGCTTATGGAGGTTGAGCTCTAGATTTTGGCCCTGTCTTTAAATCTTCAACGTATCGTCTTAGATGAGTCCTAGCTCCGTGAAATGCTTTTAATCTTTCGAGTCTCTTGCACCACCAAAACACCCCATATCCACACACACTTCCACCACCAAAACACCCCATATCCACACACACTTCCACCACCAAAACACCCCATATCCACACACACTTCCACCACCAAAACACCCCATATCCACACACACTTCCACCACCAAAACACACATATATACACACACACTTGCACCACCAAAACACACATATATCCACACACACTTCCACCACCAAAACACACATATATACACACACACTTCTACCACCAAAACACACATATCCACACACACTTCCACCACCAAAGCACACATATCCACACACACTTCCACCACCAAAACACACATATATCCACACACATTTCCACCACCAAAGCACACATATCCACACACACTTCCACCACCAAAACACACATATCCACACACACTTCCACCACCAAAACACACATATATCCACACACACTTCCACCACCAAAACACACATATATACACACACACTTCCACTACCAAAACACCACATATCCACACACACTTCCACCACCAAAACACACATATATACACACACACTTCCACCACCAAAACACCACATATCCACACACACTTCCACCAGCAAAACACACATATATACACACACACTTCCACCACCAAAACACCCCATATCCACACACACTTCCACCACCAAAACACACATATATCCACACACACTTCCACCACCAAAACACACATATATCCACACACACTTCCACCACCAAAACACCCCATATCCACACACACTTCCACCACCAAAACACACATATATCCACACACACTTCCACCACCAAACCACACATATATCCACACACACTTCCACCACCAAAACACCCCATATCCACACACTTCCACCACCAAAACACCCAATATCCACACACACTTCCACCACCAAAACACACATATATACACACACACTTCCACCACCAAAACACAACAAATGATTAGTGAAGTGTGAAAGACAAAGACAAATGTCGTACGTGCATCTCCCTCCAGCCGTCTACAGGGATCTTGTTGAGCATCTGGGAGGCCGTGGCGTTGGAGAAAGACTTGTTCTTGAACCATCCTTTCATCTCCATTGATATTGTGCTGAACCGCTTCCTCCTGGACACGTAACACACACATATATATATATAGTGATAGTTGGTGTTGGTTGTGGTTGATGGTGGTGATAATGATGGTGGTTGTGGTGTTTGGTTGGGGCTGGTGGTAGTGATGATGGAGGTGAAGTGGGTGGTGTAGGGAGGGAAAAGGCAGAGGTACGGAGCAGGTGGAGGAAGAGAGTTAAGTTGTGGGAGTGGGTGGAGGTTTGGTAGTGTGGAGGTGAGGATGTGGGTGGAAGAGGCAGGAAGTGGGCGTGACAGAGGGGGGAGAGAGGACGTAGGGGCGTGGGAGGAGGAGAAGGAGGAGGAAGGAGGGTAGAGGTGAAGGCGTGGAGGTGAGGAAACGTTGCAGTAGCCAAGACCTGCACACAGTAGCCAGGACCTGGGTACAGTAGCCAGGACCTGCGCACAGTAGCCAGGACCTGTGCACAGTAGCCAGGACCTGTGCACAGTAGCCAAGACCTGCACACAGTAGCCAGGACCTGGGTACAGTAGCCAGGACCTGCGCACAGTAGCCAGGACCTGCGCACAGTAGCCAGGACCTGGGTACAGTAGCCAGGACCTGGGTACAGTAGCCAGGACCTGCGCACAGTAGCCAGGACCTGCGCACAGTAGCCAGGACCTGGGTACAGTAGCCAGGACCTGCGCACAGTAGCCAAGACCTGCACACAGTAGCCAGGACCTGGGTACAGTAGCCAGGACCTGCGCACAGTAGCCAGGACCTGTGCACAGTAGCCAAGACCTGCACACAGTAGCCAGGACCTGGGTACAGTAGCCAGGACCTGCGCACAGTAGCCAGGACCTGCGCACAGTAGCCAGGACCTGCGCACAGTAGCCAGGACCTGTGCACAGTAGCCAGGACCTGTGCACAGTAGCCAAGACCTACGCACAGTAGCCAGGACCTGTGCACAGTAGCCAGGACCTGTGCACAGTAGCCAGGACCTGTGCACAGTAGCCAAGACCTACGCACAGTAACCATGGGAACACTAAACATTGCCATTTGAGCAGTATGAGAAGAGTGGACCTTGTGTACGCTACATATGTGTGTGTGTGTGAGTACACAGGAGGGCACCGGAGTACACCCTCTCTCATGGTAGCTCAAGTTAACCTCTCTCCTCTGACACCTCACCCCTAACACATTCCCTGGAACACCACTTGCCAATGGGTTTACAACCAGATCCATATTTACTGCTGGGTGAACAGGGGCGAGCATTAATGATCTGTGCCCAGTTGACCCTTCCTGGCCAGGGCTCGAGCCCCCACTTCCCTCTCTCTCTCCTTCAGCCTTGACTTTACAGCTAATCAATATAATTACTAACAATTTATGACACATGAAATTACCTTCAAGTGAGGCGAGCGCTGCTCTTAGGGTATGGTGGGGGAAGAATGGTGGGGGAAGAATGGTGGGGGAGGATTGGTAGGGTGGGATGGTGGGGAAGAATGGTGGGGAGAGAATGTTGGCGAGGAAATTAATAATATTTTAGTTTAGTTTTTTATCATAATTTGATAATTATTTTTTATAATTTTTTGTATTATTGCTATTATTCAATTGTCATGAGTGGAAATTTACAGTGTTGGTGCCATTCTTGGCGCCAGTGTTGGCACCCCCGGCGCCAGTGGTGCTACTCTCGGCGCCAGTGTTGGCACCCCCGGCGCCAGTGGTGCTACTCTCGGCGCCAGTGTTGGCACCCCCGGCGCCAGTGGTGCCACCCCAGGCGCCAGTGGTGGCACCCCCGGCGCCAGTGGTGCTACTCCCGGCGCCAGAGGTGCCACCCCCGGCGCCAGTGGTGCTACTCCCGGCGCCAGAGGAGCCACCCCCGGCGCCAGAGGAGCCACCCCCGGCGCCAGTGGTCACCCCCGGCGCCAGAGGTGCCACCCCCGGCGCCAGTGGTGCCACCCCCGGCGCCAGTGGTGCCACCCCCGGCGCCAGTGGTGCCACCCCCGGCGCCAGTGGTGCCACCCCCGGCGCCAGTGGTGCCACCCCCGGCGCCAGTGGTGCCACCCCCGGCGCCAGTGGTGCCACCCCCGGCGCCAGTGGTGCCACCCCCGGCGCCAGAGGTGCTACCCCCGGCGCCAGAGGTGCCACCCCCGGCGCCAGAATTGCCACCCCCGGCGCCAGAATTGCCACCCCCGGCGCCAGAGGTGCCACCCCCGGCGCCAGAGGTGCCACCCCCGGCGCCAGAGGTGCCACCCCCGGCGCCAGAGGTGCCACCCCCGGCGCCAGAGGTGCCACCCCCGGCGCCAGAGGTGCCACCCCCGGCGCCAGAGGTGCCACCTCCGGCGCCAGAGGTGCCACCCCCGGCGCCAGAGGTGCTACCCCCGGCGCCAGTGTTGGCACCCCCGGCGCCAGAGGTGCCACCCCCGGCGCCAGAGGTGCCACCCCCGGCGCCAGAGTGTAGAGCAGTAGTGACTTGGTCACGCACGACGGGCGGCACTCCGGTCAATGCTTCTCAAATTACCTGCCATTAATGTTCAATTTTGACTTATTTTGAATGCTCATGTAGCCATTGTACACGTAAATGGTATGGCATTTGGCGACTAAACAGTTATTGAAGTACTTAGCTTGTGTGTACATGCGCGCGCGCGAGCTAGCACTCGGGTTGTGTACTAACCTAGGTGTAAACAACTAAGTGTGCTTGTAGAGTATATTAGTTAATTGCAGCCAATTCTGTTTTGTTATTCAGTAATTTATCGTTATCATTAAACAAATAGCTATAAGGAAGCTATTTTGTGTGTGTTAAGGCGTCAATAAATACTAGGAACGTAGTACGACCCTTCTAGTACTCCAATCAATATGTATCTCTAATTTACATGTGTTAATCCTCTCTCATTAAGACATTTTGCTTCCTTCCTGAGAGGTACTACCTCACCCAACTGAATTATCACTCCTTGAAATAAGCCAGCCTGCTTCTTTAGCTGCCGTAGAAGTGTCTAGTGTAGGACACTTGAATATTTTAAGACGAGCAAGGAGAAGGCAATTTGACCAACCATCTCAGTTTTGTTGGATTTACGTAAAGCTTTGATAATTTTGTTAAGCGCGATTTCCCTTCGTTGTATCCATTCAAGTTTTTCGTAAATTAAATTCAGCTGAATTATTCTGTACTCGCCTAGTTGTGCTTGTGGAGGTTGTGTTTTGACTCTTTGGTCCCGCCTCTCAACTGTCAATCAACTGGTGTACAGGTTCCTGAGCCTATTGGGCTCTATCATATCTACATTTCAAACTGTGTATGGAGTCAGCCTCCACCACATCACTGCCTAATGCATTCCACATGTTAGCTACTCTGACACTGAAAAAGTTCTTTCTAACGTGCCTGTGGCTCATTTGGGTACTCGGTCTCCACCTGTGTCCCCTTGTTCGCGTACCACGCTCCGTAAGTTCCTCCCTCGGACCAGTCTCAACTCTCAAGAGCTGGTTCCAGGCTCATCGACACCACCAGAGACCAAATGGAATTCCAGTTTCCTGTTTGAGCTCCTCAATCCAGAGAGGAAATGCCTACTGTATCTCCTTGTTCCCGCCCCGCATGTGAGGAACTCGAGAATATTAACATTAATTCATCTTTCATTGTAATCCTCAACTTGTAACACATTCATTATTTTTAGTAAAAGCTTTAATTTATTATGAGCCACCAGTAAAAGTGTTTACTGGCGGCTCATATTTAATATATTTTTAGCGGGCCTTTTGTATAAATGCCAAGAATTCTTACAGCTTGTAGTTGTAATATCTTATAACTGTGGTTGCTGTCAAAGTTATCGAACCATATACTGTATGCACCGAGAGGTGCAACCCTTCTTCTTAGTGTATATACGCACCAAAAGTTCGACTTTAGGTTAAGACTAAAGTATTCTTGCTGGTTGTCCAGTAAAGCTGCTGTTAAGGCCTTAATATCCCTGCAGACTTTGTCAGCAGTTAAGCACAACACCATACCAAACTATGTTGTCACTTCCTAATTTGGTTGACCAATTAACATGAGTAGAGTTCCCTATGCAGGCGATGAGTCACAATAACGTGGCTGAAGTATGTTGACCAGACCACACACTAGAAGTTGAAGGGACGACGACGTTTCGGTCCGTCCTGGACCATTCTCAAGTCGATTGTCTTGAGAATCTTGTCTTGAAGTCAAGACAATCGACTTGAGAATGGTCCAGGACGGACCGAAACGTCGTCGTCCTTTCAACGTCTAGAGTTCCCTGTTTGTTTTTGTGTTTTGTAAGGTTAAGTGTTAATTCTTTCATATTGAGGTATTTTATTTAGTTTTAACTTCCTGCAATTTGCTTTCTTGAGTGACTAGTTGTTTTTAACTTAGTTTTTGTGAACCTTGAATTGTAATTTTATTGGTTTTAGATTCTTAAGATTGGTTTTATTTAGATTTCGAAAGGCAATATGTTGTTTGAAATAAAGGTAGTACTTTACGATGTTCCTCACGGCAATAGTCATCCCATTCCTTATAAAAACATATATATACACACACACACACACAGATATATGTACATTCATATATTAAATGGTGTATACAGACTGGCATGCATATATACAGCATAGTACACACACTCTCACATACTTACAAGGTGCTGTAGGTCTTGTCAAAGAGCTGGGAAGTCTGCGCCCAGAAGCCAGAGACGGAGGAGGAGAGGCTGTTCCACTGCTCCGTGAACCAGTTGGCGCCCACCGCCCCACTCGACACTGTCACCAACACCGAACACACAACAGTTAGATGGATCACGGAGACACACACGCACTGATACACGATCACAACACAAGAAGCAATGTAATAAAAGCAATTAACTAACACACAATAATATCAAAAGACTTAACAGTACAAATTACGAGAAATTAATGTGAAAATATATATATTCTTGCTGCCTACTATGTAATTGTATAGCATGTAGATACTGTGTAAGTTAAGACCACCTAGCCTACTGTGCAAGTTAAGACCACCTAGCCTACTGTGTAAGTTAAGACCACCTAGCCTACTGTGTAAGACTACCTAGCCTACTGTGCAAGTTAAGACCACCTAGCCTACTGTGTAAGTTAAGACCACCTAGCCTACTGTGCAAGTTAAGACCACCTAGCCTACTGTGTAAGTTAAGACCACCTAGCCTACTGTGTAAGTTAAGACCACCTAGCCTACTGTGCAAGTTAAGACCACCTAGCCTACTGTGTAAGTTAAGACCACCTAGCCTGCTGTGTAAGTTAAGACCACCTAGCCTACTGTGCAAGTTAAGACCACCTAGCCTACTGTGTAAGTTTAGAGTACCTAGCCTACTGTGTAAGTTTAGAGTACCTAGTCTACTGTGTAAGTTTAGAGTACCTAGTCTACTGTGTAAGTTTAGAGTACCTAGCCTACTGTGTAAGTTTAGAGTACCTAGTCTACTGTGTAAGTTTAGAGTACCTAGTCTACTGTGTAAGTTTAGAGTACCTAGTCTACTGTGTATTAAAATCTTGGGGCGACCAAACATTGGATTATTTGCACATATTTCTATTTGTGTAAGAGCTTGTAGTTCTCTATATATTTCACCTTGTCCTCAGGGCAAAGTGATCCTACTGAATTGACTGCTGCTCTGGTTTAGCCACTTAGATATTTCTGATGATTTGAAGTCTTTATTATTAAGGTTCTGATAATATTCTGTTGGACTGGTAAGTGAACCTTTGTCCTAAACAGAAATTATTCTCGTTATAACTATTTTAGTTATGTTTACTAAAATATACATCGAGGCTCTGCAATAGACTAAAGTCAGGTAAACTCATTAAATTTCATAAGCCCGAAGGCCAAGGTATTCTTTAATATCAAATTCTAGGGAATCCGCCATAATTTCACGTTATATCATTGTGATGATGTAAGGGGGAAGATGGAGAACGGCCTATTGACATAGCTCGGGTGCAGGGGGGGGGGGGTTGTGTAAAAGCCTGGTTTGTGCCTTGGAGAGGCTACGGGATCCAGTAAGTTCAGTAGAACTTCGGTTTCAACCCTTTTACCCTGTCGTAGCTCAGTCGATTAAGGCAGTGTCTGGGATGCTCCCGGACGCAGGTTCGAATCCTCGTCACGGCCCTTGTGGATTTGTTCACGTTATATATATTTTAGAATGAAATACACTTGTCTAACACCTAACCTAACCTGGGATAGGAGCTATATAAAACACTTATTATGTATACGTAGTATATTTTGAAGTGATTACCTCGAAGGTACATACATCATGGTGCGACTAATACTACTATTGCCTTTATTCTCCTGATATGGAGAAACTTGACACACTTTCTTAGACCCAGTTTAGTCATATTGCGTTAACAGTTCTGATATCGTGATAGGATAATTTCATTTACAAATATAACGTAGTGGATGGATATGTGTGATATCATAATGTGAGGTTGTAGTTGGATATACTGTGTGAGAACGAAGGTGACTGTGGGAGATAATACTCGGGGTGACGCCCAACCTAATACTCACTCAACATGACAAGGACGCCAACCATCACCAGACGTCGATCCATCCTCCTGTGTCCTGTGCCAAATATATATGTCATTAATACAAAACAAAGTAAGATGAGAAATACAGATAAATGACAAATATATACACAAATAAATGACAAATAAGAAAAAAACTAGTGATATATTGTGGGAAAAACTGGTCAAGGCCCAACCCGGCATCCAATAAGAGTAGCATATATCAAGATGTAGGTCTTAACAGTGTTATGGCCCCTTTACACTGTCATTGCCTTTAGTGTCACGGTAACAGAGTCACGGCTACACGTTGTCATGGCCTCGTAAATTACAGCATGGTCTCCTACACTGTTTCATAGATTTGAACATGGGTGCAGGACTAAATTTTGACGGCCCTGTCTCCCGTTTCTGTATCACGGCCGCCTGTTTTCTCTGGCACTGCCGCACTTGTCTCTTATACTGTATTCTTTTTTCACTGGCACTGCCGCTTAGAATATTCGCCAGTCGCGTCTGGGTAACCATCGGCGGCCATCTTTTCTGTTTCCTGTGGTTTGTCTCGCGTCCTCCGGTTCCCTATTGACGGCTTTGTTTAATAATTAAAGAACTCCACGACTACTGCTCAGCTGCGTGTGGGACACGCACGCACGTAAGGGCGCGCGAACGCTCACACACACACACACACACACACACACACACACACACAAATTTGAAAAGGTTCAAAAACTTGCCACTAAGTGGCTTCCAGAACTGAAGGACAAGAGCTACAAGGAGAAGTTAGAGGCATTAAATATGCCAAAACTAGAAGACAGAAGAGAAGGGGTGATATGACCACTACGTACAAAATAGTAACAGGAATTGATAACATTGATATGGAAGATTTCCTGAGACCTGGAACTTCAAGAACAAGAGGTCATAGATTTAAACTAACTAAACACAGATGCCGAAGAAATAAGAAAATTCACTTTCGCAAACAGAGTGGTAGACGGTTGGAACAAGTTAGGTGAGAAGGTGGTGGAGGCCAAGACCGTCAGTAGTTTCAAAGTGTTATATGACAAAGAGTGCTGGGAAGACGGGACACCACGAGCGTAGCTCTCATCCTGTAACTACACTTAGGTAATTACTAGACGTTATGGGCGCCGGTGGCTGTGTGGATAACACGTTGGACACGTAATCCTGTGGCCTGGGTTCGATTCCCGGCGCCGGAGAGAGAGAAAAAAAAAAAAAAAAAAAAAAGGGGGGGGGCAGAGTTTTTTCACCCTGATGCATCTGTTCACCTAACAGTAAATAGGTACCTGGGAATTAGACAGTTGCTATTAGCTGCTTCCTGGGGATATACATATGTGTGTGTGTATACTCACCTATTTGTACTCACCCATTTGTGCTTGCGGGGGTTGAGCTTTGGCTCTTTGGTCCCGCCTCTCATCTGTCAATCAACTGGTGTGTGTGTGTGTGTGTAAGAGAAATATAGAAAGACGGAGTCCAAGAGCTAATAGCTCAATTCTGTAGATACAAAAAAAGTCAAATGGAAAGAGTTGGTCACTTGTGGACACTTAGCGTCACTGTCGGTACAGTAAAGTGCTCACCCACAACCACCACACACAGCCGCTCCCTCAAATATATTAATAACAAAGGATATACTCCAGCAGGTTTTTTCCGGTTATATTGACCGTCGAGTGAGTCTATTCCCTCACGCACATATACTGGACGGAGAATGGTGAGGGGTATACTACCCCGTTCTCCTTTTCTTAAGACGAGGAAGGGACAAGGATGCACTACATGTCTAGCTACCTTAACCCTACAATGGATTTAACGTTGAAGGGAACGTTAATCTTGGGTTTAATCTTAGGTTGTGTCACCATTCCTTAAGATCCTTGGGTGGAGCGTCTCCGATACTAGTGACAACAAAGGCTTACCAACGGCAGATTCTCTGTCAATTAGGGACAAACGACTGCGAGCCGTAACAACGATGTAGGGAGAGGACATTCTGGGCCTCTGTCTCTCCTTCACACACACACACACACACACACACACACACACACACACACAGATATATCAAGTTATTGTGAATTCTTTGTGTATCTCAAGGGAGCGTTTGGTGGAGAACTCCAGAACCTGCACCAGGATACATGCGAGTTATTTGTAAAACTTGGGCTGGCACCAGCTCGGTGCTGCCTCCAGACTCCTAGTGGATCCGATTAAATTAATGATTAATGAAGATTAAGCCACCCAAAAGGTGGCACGGGCATGAATAGCCCGTAAGTGGTGGCCCTTTGGAGCCATTACCAGTATCAAGAGCTGATACTGGAGATCTGTGGAGGTGCAACTGCACCCTGCGTGACGGGAGATGTCTCCCGTGAGTGGATCCGGGCTAATCCCGCGTTAAATAACCTGCTTTAGCATGTCGTGGTCCATGGGTTAAGGCGCGGATCTAGGGTTACCCAGGACGCGGGTTCGATCTCCATCCTGTTCCAATAATGTTGTTATCCATATCTTCTATTCTCTATTACATCCTCTTAGGGTATTCAGTTTTCCTCGAGGAATGTAACATATATGATGGAAGACAAAAATGTTGGGAGTAGTGGAGTGAGCGGGCACAATGTCTGAGGCATTCATTAAGGTCCACGGCAGGTCCACGGCAGGTCCACGGCAGGTCCACGGTCCACGGCAGTAGTGACTGACTGTCTGGGAGAATTTATCCTACACTTGCAGTATTGGAGGACGAGACCTCAAGTGTGTCCCTGGGGACTGCTTTGAGAACGGCTGCTGAGTTATGGAACAAATTAGCGGACAATGTAATACACGTGGGATCGCTGCATTGTTTCAAGCGAAGACTATACATATATATGAATGATTTTGGTTAGATAGAATATAATATATATATATATATATTATATATATATATATATATATATATATATATATATATATATATATATATATATATATATATATAATCAGCCTTTCCACCCGTCTTCCATTCTCCTTTCTCGCTCTATTCCTCTCTCTCCTACTCCTCTCCCCCTCTCCCAACATCCACCCTCTCAAATCTCCCCTTTTCTCATTGTTAACAGAGTTAACAGAATTAGGTACATCTGCATTTATGTAGCTATCTACCTACCTACCAGTTGAAAGTTCCAGGGAACAATGTCCACGCGGCCCGGTCTCTGACCAGGCCTCCTGGTTGTTGGTCTGATCCACCAGGTGATCCACTAGCGTGTGTCAAGAGCTAGCTGTACCTTGGTAAAAATCCCCATCCCACAGGAGGGTTAGTCATATACAGCCGATTACGATGCACTGAAATTGCTTAATCTTTGTTGACCAGACCACACACTAGAAATTGAAGGGACGACGACGTTTCGGTACTTCAGCCACGTTATTGTGACTCATCGCCTTGCTTAATCTCTCTATGGAAAGTTCAGCCTCTTTCAGACTCATGAAAAGCGTTGAGGGGTCGCTATATAGGGATATTATTTTCTCTCTCTCTCTCTCTCTCTCTCTCTCTCTCTCTCTCTCTCTACATAAACGTATGTTGTTATAGATTCAGCTACTCTGAAAAAGTTCCAAGTAGCACGGGGTATGGTGAGCCCGTAGTGGACTTACCTGGCACAGGAGCGGGGCAAGTAGCACGGGCTATGGTGAGTAGTGGACTTATCTGGCACAGTAGTGGACTTACCTGGCACAGGAGCGGGGCAAGTAGCACGGGCTATGGTGAGCCCGGAGTGGACTTACCTGGCACAGGAGCGGGGCTGTGTGTGACGCACACATAAATTAGTTACTGTAATAATTTATATCGCGAGAGGGAGCGTGCCAAAGCAATATTCGCAGATATAAACAAAATCACAGGTGACCTGTGTGGTCTCTGGCGGCCATAACTTTAATCATTCCCATGAACATTAGAACCACAGGCCGCCGTGTTCTACTGTTCCTAAAATATACACCGGGGAATGTATACACGGAGAGGTGTGGCCTACTTCTCTGTTTACGTATACTAGAGAGTATACTTACTGGTTACAGTTACAGCCCCGCTCCTGTGCCAGGTAAGTCCACTACGGGCTCACCATAGCCCGTGCTACTTGCCCCGCTCCTGTGCCAGGTAAGTCCACTCCGGGCTCACCATAGCCCGTGCTACTTGCCCCGCTCCTGTGCCAGGTAAGTCCACTACGGGCTCACCATAGCCTGTGCTACTTGCCCCGCTCCTGTGCCAGGTAAGTCCACCACGGGCTCACCATAGCCCGTGCTACTTGCCCCGCTCCTGTGCCAGGTAAGTCCACTACGGGCTCACCATAGCCCGTGCTACTTGGAACTTTTGTTCCGAGTAGCTGAATCTATAACAACAGATTAGTGGTTAGTCAGTAAGTTCTTGGTGAGAGCTAAATAACCCTCCCGAGGCTGATTGGGTCTATCCATACACCGAATCAATCTCCTAGAATATTTTATATATATTCTGAATAAAATATATTCTACATATACATCAATATTGAACGCAAATGTGTAATTTTCAGTGTATAAAAGTGCTCACATTAATCCTGATATGTGTTCCTAACAGTGTATTAATACATAACAAAGCTTAACATTCGTAATGAATGAATACACCGACGATAATATTTACACAGAGTTCAGTTCACAATTACACATAGTTGCTACGTATACACATAGTGCCTCCGATCACTGGCCCCGTGATGGTCCTGGAGGTCGACACACTCAACACTTTACTCAAGTGTGGAAGTTTTTGGGGTGAAAAGTTGCTTCTTCTTAAGTAAAGACCATTAAAACCCCCCATTAAAATGACCTGGATAAATTAAGTTGACCAGACCACACACTAGAAATTGAAGGGACGACGACGTTTCGGTCCGTCCTGGACCATTCTCAAGTCGATTGTGATGAGGACAGGTAGGGACAGGCATTAAATAGGCAAGAGAGAGCTGAGGAGGAAAGTCAGGTGTAGGGGATAGTAGTAATGAGAACTGCAGCAGGCCTATTGGCCCATACGAGGCAGCTCCAGGACGGACCGAAACGTCGTCGTCCCTTCAATTTCTAGTGTGTGGTCTGGTCAACATACTTCAGCCACGTTATTGTGACTCATCGCCTGCATCTGGATAAATTAAATTAAAAGAGTTGAAATGTCGATAAACTGAGCTCCTTTGGGTTCTATGAGTCATGTTTAATAAATGTAAGGCTGGATATTATGTTGTATTAAAGGCAGTTATCTGGAGGTAACTGAGCTTTACGTCCAAGGAAAAGAGGTAACCTCCTTACCTGGAGGCCAAGAGCTGGAATTTCATAACCTCTATATTTGTATCAGTCAAATTTATTGGCACTATTTTAGTGATGAAAATGATCAGTCAGGTTGTCTTCGCCTTGCCTAGGGAGTTATGATAATATAATTAAGGTGAAAATATATTTAAATGAATATTATGACATTTTCTAGTCCATAAAGCTCACTAAATACGTTTTTTTTCTGTAAAATTATCTTAATGATCATATATCATTATATATCATTAGATCACAAGATGATATAACTAGTTTTACAGAGATATACATATACAGAGCATACTTTAGTCTTGGACTATTTAAAATTTTTAAATTTTGCCCCGAGGGGCGAGTTTATTGGGCAGCGCCACTCATCTTGTGAGTGGACATACCGCCATAGTGACAGTATTGGGCAGCGCCACTCATCTTGTGAGTGGACATACCGCCATAGTGACAGTATTGGGCAGCGCCACTCATCCTGTGAGTGAACATACCGCCATAGTGACAGTATTGGGCAGCGCCACTCATCTTGTGAGTGGACATACCGCCATAGTGACAGTATTGGGCAGCGCCACTCATCCTGTGAGTGGACATACCGCCATAGTGACAGTATTGGGCAGCACCACTCATCTTGTGAGTGGACACACCGCCATAGTGACAGTATTGGGCAGCGCCACTCATCTTGTGAGTGGACACACCGCCATAGTGACAGTATTGGGCAGCGCCACTCATCTTGTGAGTGGACACACCGCCATAGTGACAGTATTGGGCAGCACCACTCATCCTGTGAGTGGACACACCGCCATAGTGACAGTATTGGGCAGCACCACTCATCCTGTGAGTGGACACACCGCCATAGTGACAGTATTGGGCAGCGCCACTCATCTTGTGAGTGGACACACCGCCATAGTGACAGTATTGGGCAGCGCCACTCATCTTGTGAGTGGACACACCGCCATAGTGACAGTATTGGGCAGCGCCACTCATCTTGTGAGTGGACATACCGCCATAGTGACCATATTGGGCAGCGCCACTCATCTTGTGAGTGAACATACCGCCATAGTGACAGTATTGGGCAGCGCCACTCATCTTGTGAGTGGACATACCGCCATAGTGACAGTATTGGGCAGCGCCACTCATCTTGTGAGTGGACACACCGCCATAGTGACAGTATTGGGCAGCGCCACTCATCTTGTGAGTGGACATACCGCCATAGCAGCATGTACAACACTCCCCCAATAAGAAGAAAACTTGGACTATGTTCAGGACTTTAGTATACTTGCTCGTTGGTCAGTAAGCTACTGTGATGGCCTTAGTAACCCTCCAGGGGATGATAGGCCTTAGTAACCCTCCAGGGGATGATAGGCCTTAGTAACCCTCCAGGGGATGATAGGCCTTAAAACACATCCTTAAACTATCATAGTTTTAGACAGTGATCACATCAGTAACTGATTAAATGTACACGATGAACATTTATAAACAAATATTTTAAATTTCAATATTGTATTATGTTATCAGTTATGCTAGTAATTATAATTTATTTAGAAAATGCATCGACATGTGTATTTCTCGGTGTATATGCACCTTAGAACATTTTAATCCCGAAATATCTGGTATTGTTCTATTCAATTCAATTTCTTTCTTTATTATGCACCCCATACTCATCTCGTGGGCGGTGGCGTAAAGGATTACAGAGGCACATAATCGGTCAGGTTTCAGTTCGTTTAGCTACGCCAATAACAATCTTTTGACGCTAGTTAGACAATTATTAATGTGTTTAACCCAGACTGATGTCTCAGTGATCCTGCTATGTGGCCGGTACAGCAGCAATAACAACTTACAAGGTTGAGGAGGTGGTCTTGTGAGTCGTTAGCAGAGGTCAGGAGGCACTAGTGGTGAAGCGAGAGGGTGTATGAGGCCACCAAAATAGCGGTGTGTGAGCACTTGAGGACGGGTCAGTCAAGAGGCGTGAGCCAGGCACAACACAACGCACGCTCCGTTGTCAGCCACACCTGCGCCACTGACCCTTGTGGCGTGTTGCACCACACACACATGGTGTGGAGTGCACACACACATACACTTCCTCCCCCACCATCCCCCCACGACCCACGCTTTACTCATTCACACCCCATTATACTCCCTCCATCCACATTTCTCACCCCCACCCACCCACCTTCACTCAACATCCGTAGCATATGGGCACGCTGGTAAACACTAGGACATCGGTCTCAAACCTAAACCACGACTCTTTCAGATCCAGTCTTTGTTAGACTGATATTGAAACGTGCAGCACCGGCCTCGAATCCACACCTTTTGAATCATAAAATAAAAATTATAAAGTGTAAAAATTTACAACACAATAAGTGCCAGAGTTATGGGAACTAGACCTCGGAACCATAGATGAGAGAAGACGCGGAGGGGACATGATTGCAACATGCAAAATATCGAGGGGAATTGTTGACCAAACCACACACAAGAAAGTGAAGGGTCGACGACGTTTCGGTCCGTCATGGACCATTCTCACAATCAACTTAAGAATGGTCCAGGACGGACCAAGAAAAAGAAACGGTGGATATAATCACAACAAGCAAAATGACGGGGGGAAAGAGACAAGACAGACTATTAGCATGGGCCATATACAAACAAGGGAACACAGATGGAAACTGAGTACCCAAATAAGTCACAAGCATACAGACGAGGAGTCACAGTAACGTGGCTGAAATATGTTGACCAGACCACACACTAGAAGGCGAAGGGACGACGACGTTTCGGTCCGTCCTGTACCATTCTCAAGTCGATTGTGAACGGTCCTTGACTTGAGAATGGTCCAGGACGGACCGAAACGTCGTCGTCCCTTCACTTTCTAGTGTGTAGTCTGGTCAACAAGACACAAACATTATAAATAAATACAAGGTGAATTCCCTCATGTCTCACTTCCACACACTCAGTTGTAATTTAAAAGCTAATCAAAATCGTCTTCTATCAATTGTGAATTTACCAAAGTTTTTTTCAGTCCTACTTTTGTATCATTTACAAGTTTGTAATTGTTGCTCTTCAAAATCAAAAAATCAAAAAGCTTTTTGAGGTAAATGTACATACAAAGAAGATGAGTTACAAACATAATGTTGGATTTATAGATAGAGCTAGTACATACAATACCTAAAGCCTACTAGTGGCTTTAGGTATTGTATGTACTAGGCTCTATCTATAAATCCAACATTATGTTTGTAAAACAACTATGTATGTACTTTCCTGAATAAAATTGACTTTACTTAAAGCCACTAATACGCACAGTGTTTCGGGCAAGGTGTAGTGGAAAACACTTAGACTAAAGGTTAATACTAATCGAGATTAAAGTATAAATTGTGTAAAAAAAGGGGGGAAGGGAACATGGCAGAAATCAACAATTTTACAGCTTGGTCAACAAACAGTATTGTTTCAAAATAGCCAGACCCTGGTTGACATTTAGGGGGTAAGGTAAGAACATGAGAACATAAGAACAAAGGTAACTGCAGAAGGCCTATTGGCCAATACGAGGCAGCTCCTATCTATAACCACCCAATCCCAGGGAGGTTACATGGAGTTTATTAGGTAGAACTTAGTTATCCTCTTAAACTGGTTGAGAGAGCTACAGCCTTTGACATGAATGGGAAGGTCATTCCACATTCTGGGTCTCGATTTGTAGAGCGTTGATAGTTTGGTTAAGGCATGATGTGTCCAAATCATTCCTATAATAGGTAAATATCAGAGGCTTCCCACTCGATTTTGACTCAATTACTTTTTATTTATTTTTTATTTATTTATTTATATACAAGAAGGTACATTGGGTTTGTGAGAATACATAGAATGGCTTACCTTGTGTTTCTTTAACAAATTAGTTTGCATAAATCCAAGATAACTCCTAATACTATGTGTCTCTCCCTTTCTATAAACTTTAGTGAGACTTAGTAGCATCATAGCTCTCAAAACTCATATTATTAACTCATATTATAACTCATATTATTTGCGTGAATCAATAATAATATGAGGCATTACGTTAGGAGCAGATTTAAAAAATCGCTTTGTTGAATTCTCCGAACTTCTGCACACAATTCCCCAAACATAGAAAACATTCCAGTTGACCAAATCTCCGTAGGAAAACAGTTCCAGGAATTGGGAGCACTTTTCCTGACTCACAAGAATTCAATCCAAGATTCATAGGTATTGAGTAGAAGCCAACGTGGGCTATCGACTCATTCCCGGCTCGACCTGGTCGCAAACTCATGCCACCATATTTGATATTTGATATCTCCTGTTACTTATTACAGTACTTTGACATTGAACTGAAACTGAAATAAGTTTATTGAGGTATAAATACACACACAAAGGGATGATGCAGCTCAAGCTATTCTCACCCCGTTCAGTACAGCGTGTCAACTAATTAGTTGTTAACACGTATGAAACCACTTATATCCAACATAATTTGAACCCACAACTGGGAGAGGCAAGGATATAAATCCTTCATCTTGCTGTACAACATCTGCTGAAATATCCAATATGAAATTATGAAGTTAGCTCAAGTAAAAAATCAGCCAGTTATCCCTACATTATTACTTCCGTTTTCTTCTTTTAGTTACTTCGTTTTTAATGTTAATTCTCAATATTTCTTGGCGTCTGCATATATTACGTTCATTTAAGCGTCGAATTTCTATACCATCCGATCTATAACTCCTTTCATCTCTTTCATCATCGTCCCTCCCTTATCCCTTAGGAAATGTAGCTGTTTATCTCTCAAATGTTTGGTAATATGTTTATTGTTTGTGATGTGTGTCAATGTATGTATTAACGCGATGTACTGAACGGGGTGAGAATAGCTTGAGCTACCTCATCCCTTTGTGTGTATTTTACCTCAATAAACTTATTTCAATTTCAATTTCAATTCCCTTTCCCCCCCCCCCCTCTCATACCTTCCTGTCGTTCCATCTCAAATTCCGTCTCAAAATCTGTCCTAGTCCTTGATCCTCAACCACTTTTTCGCTTATTCTACCCTGTCAACTTCCCTGCCTTCACTCTCCTCTCATTTATCCTCTCCTATCGCTCTTAGCCTTACAACTTTCCCCTCACTTCCTCTTAACACTTTTCAAATCCTCTATTTTTCTTCGAGGGAAAATTAGAAGGCTGTAGGTAAAACTAATAATTAACACTAGTGGCCTGGACGAGGATAGGAAGCCGGCGGCTTTGTCAAAAGGTCCCTCTATTTGTCCTGGTAATTTGTTTCAAGTTGAATTATAAAATTCAGCAGTGTTTTATCATTTACGGCTTCAGCTGGTAGGCGGTTCCATGGGTTTGAAACCCTATGGATGAAAAACTTCTATTGTCTGCAGGCGATGAGTTACAATGACGAGGCTAAAGTAAGTTGACCAGACCACACACTAGAAGATGAAGGGACGACGACGTTTCGGTCTGTCCTGGACCATTCTCAAGTCGATGATTCTATTGTCTGTCCTACATTGTGGTTTGTTGATCTTCAATCATTTGTAAGCCTACTCTATTCCACTTATTGGCGGCTCTAGCACTAAAAAGTACTTTCTGACATCTCTGTGACCCGTTTTGTCTCTAACTTCCATCTATGAACTTTCGTTCAGCTGTTCCTAGTTTTGAACAATGCTCTTAGGTCTACTATGTCAATTCCCTCTTAGAATCTTATATGTAGCTATCACGTCTTGCCCTTATCTTGGAGTGTAGAGAGGTCCAGCTGCCTCATTCTTCCCTCGGAGCTCAGACCTTTGCTCAGAAACGATCCTTGTTTGAAATCTTTGGACGTTTTCTTGTGTTGAGGGTTCGGGTCCGGGGCTGGATGTCCAGGCGCGCGTGCATGCATATAGAATGTGCGTATAGAGTGTGCGTATATGTCAGGCACCAGACAGCTCTACCGCCGCTAACTGGATCGTCCTCCGTGACGCTCAGGTCTGCGTACTTCTCCACAACTGTTGTAATGGAAGTACTCAGGTCTGCGTACTACCCCACAACTGTTGTAATGGAAGTACTCAGATCTGCGTACTACCCCACAACTGTTGTAATGGAAGTACTCAGGTCTGCGTACTACCCCACAACTGTTGTAATGGAAGTACTCAGGTCTGCGTACTACCCCACAACTGTTGTAATGGAAGTACTCAGGTCTGCGTACTACCCCACAACTGTTGTAATGGAAGTACTCAGGTCTGCGTACTACCCCACAACTGTTGTAGCGGACTGAGTACTTCCCCACGACTGTTTTAGTGGGAGGCAGCTAAGGCCAATCTTCCTGGTCCATTTACACTTCGAGCTCTTAGGTTTTACCTTCAAGAATACGTTACAACTCATCAGATTCAAGGCGTAAAGTATTGTCATAAAAAACTGTGGAATTAATTCCTTCCTGCTTAAGGTGCTTCTGTTACTTGGTTATTTCCACCACAGAATGAATCTCTGTTTAGATGATTGAGGTTTTACATTTATACGCCTGTAACTTCACAGGATTTAAGGTCTATCGATAGCTAGGATACCTGGTTGATACTTGGTTGATGGGGTTCTGGGAGTTCTTCTACTCCCCAAGCCCGGCCCGAGGCCAGGCCTGACTTGTGAGAGTTTGGTCCACTAGGCTGTTGCTTGGAGCGGCTCGCAGGCCCACATATACCTGGTTGATGGGGTTCTGGGAGTTCTTCTACTCCCCAAGCCCGGCCCGAGGCCAGGCCTGACTTGTGAGAGTTTGGTCCACTAGGCTGTTGCTTGGAGCGGCTCGCAGGCCCACATATACCTGGTTGATGGGGTTCTGGGAGTTCTTCTACTCCCCAAGCCCGGCCCGAGGCCAGGCCTGACTTGTGAGAGTTTGGTCCACTAGGCTGTTGCTTGGAGCGGCTCGCAGGCCCACATACCCACCACAGCCCGGTTGGTCCGGCACTCCTTGAAGGAAACAATCTAGTTTCCTCTTGAAGATGTCCACGGTTGTTCCAGCAACCGTGGACATTAGACCCGGATCATTAGGGTCTATCGATTGTTAGGAACATTAAGG